TAAACACATCAACTCGTAAGCGGGAAAGTAGTAGTTTTTTTCGCGGGGAAATATTTACTGTGAAAAGTTAAAATAACTTACCCGAGACACCAACCACCTCGCTAACCCTCCTCCAAGCAAGCTCCTTTTTATTTCGGTCCCGGTAGCTGTGGTCTGCAGTGTTGTATTCTGTCATCTACTAGTGTTTTCCCGGTAGTGAAATGCGTCACTACGTCACTGGAGGAGAAAGCTCCTGATTGGTCGGCACACGCGAATTCTCCCAAAAAGTTCAACATTGTTCAACTCTAGCGGCGGCCGCGTTGGAGGCACGAATCGCGCGAAACGCGCGTCAAAACGCTTGACATCTCAAAACACGCCGCGCGAAACGCTCGAATTCGCGCCGCTCTGGCCGCGCGAATCGCGCCGCGTGATCTCTTGCCGCTCCTTGGCGCGCGTCCCCCATGTTGTGTCAATGTAGACCCGCCGCTTTGGCCGCAGAAATTGCGTTTGGTCTGAACGCACCATTAGAGCGGGAGCCAGACGAGTAGAGTTTGTGGCAGTAAAATGTGGATTTAAAGGACAACTCACCCTCAAATCCACTTTTTTTTTGCTTATAAACGGTATAAATGAGTGTCCAATAGTGTTGTCTACATATCCTGGTCCTAATTTTGTCACTTTGGTGCAAATTAGTTGAAAGTTAAACTTTCTGCCTAAAACCATCTGTGAGGCGCCATCTGCTGGCGACCTGTATTACTACATTTGAATTTTGAATCTGGCGCCTGAGACCTGACGTCAGCAGCCCCCCGCCCAGAGCTATATAAACGGCCCAGTCTCGTTCACGCCCCCTTTAGTCCTCTAGGCTACGCCCATTTAGAGGAAGATTTGAACAGGAAATGTGAGTGACGTAAGCTCCGAGGAGCGGGGGTGAGAACCACTTTAAAGAAAACTGAAGGATTTAAGAAGAAAAAAAGTTCAGGATGACAAGGGACACTGAAATCCCCAGAAAATCCGAACTTTATGAAAGCTGTGGGTTCTCTGTCAGGTTCTCTGTCAGCTGAGGTCGAGCTGTTTTAATTTACATTGAGTTCTATGAGACTTTTTCTGGGTAGCCCTCGTGAATTTAGTCTGCAGTACCACAGCGCCCCCTGTGCCCATGGGTGGGACAGCTAGCCTATAAGCTAGGAAAACACTATCCAGTTATTATTATAGTTCCATGGTTGTGCCACAGGTGCGTTGTATACATGGATCTATTATAATAACTGGATAGGGTATTACTAGCTTGTAGCTCGGGGGATTCCCGTGGTACTGCAGACTAAATTCACGTGGGCTACCCAGAAATTGTCCCCATAGAACTCAATGTAAACTAAAACAGCTCGACCTCAGCTGACAGAGAACCTACAACTTTCATAAAGGTCGGATTTTGTTGGGATTTTAGTGTCCCTTGTCATCCTGAACTTTTTTTTCTTCTTAAATCCTTCAGTTTTCTTTAAATCCACATTTTACTGCCACAAACTCTACTCGTCTGGCTCTTACTCCCGCTCTAACTCCCACTCTGATCAGTACCTCTGATTGGATTGCATGACAGCCACACACGTGTATTTGGCGCAAAGCATCATGGAAGCTCGTCCACTGCGCAGAACAGGGAGGACCAGACAATGCCCAAAAATAGGCGAGTTCCGCTAATGTCTCAGGCTCGTGAAGTCAGTTGATTCACTGTTTTGCCAAAGCCAAATTCATTAACAGAGCAGGTCGGAGCATGAGTGGGTTCATCATGGCTCCTGAAGTTACTAACAAACTTTTGGCACAAACTTAATTTTGATATATTTTTTCATTTAGACTGTAATTGTTGCTGTTTGAATAAATAAAAACATCTTAGATCATTGTTGTGTTTTTTTCTGCATTAACAAAAATGCTCCTCGCTTTAGATTAGGGTACCTCAAAATAGTGTAATAAGCAGTTTATTAACGCATATTTTAGTGGCCTATTACCACTATTACCTATTAATAAGCAACTTATTAATATCTTTATAGGCATATTCCTCCTTTAATAAGTATCTTACTAATTACTTACTACTTATTAAATGCTTAAAAGCATATAACTAGAACAACATCGTTTAGAGAATAGTGAAATGAGCAGCTTATTAATATGTTTATAAGTACATATAAGCAATCTATAAGCATGTTGCTATTGTCTATTAATACCTTTTTAATACTTAACAAGCACACCTTAATATAAAGCGTTACCCGCACGGTAAACCATAAGCAATACAAATGTAAATGTACAGAAAAACACCTTTTTCATGGTTCCTGCTCAGACTATTTCCACAAAGTCAAGATCCCTGTAGAGTTACAGTACATGTGATACAGTACAGTACTGTAAACACTGTAGGTACAGTCTGCAGTAGAGAGTTACAGTACATGTGATACAGTACAGTACTGTAAACACTGTAGGTACAGTCTGCAGTAGAGAGTTACAGTACATGTGATACAGTACAGTACTGTAAACACTGTAGGTACAGTCTGCAGTAGAGAGTTACAGTACATGTGATACAGTACAGTACTGTAAACACTGTAGGTACAGTCTGCAGTAGAGAGTTACAGTACATGTGATACAGTACAGTACTGTAAACACTGTAGGTACAGTCTGCAGTATAGAGTTACAGTACATGTGATACAGTACAGTACTGTAAATACTGTAGATACAGTCAGAGTTACTGTACATGTGTGTAAATATATCTATAAATATAAATATATTTATATATACATTTAAATATAGTTTCACAACCGACACCTTGGGTCTTGTCTGGTGTGGTGTATCTGGGCCTGCTCCTGTGCCACCATGATTCATTCAAGAGATTCAAGATGAATGTATTATGTCCCGTAGGAAACTTGTCTTGGACTCACAGGCTGCTACATTGACAATACACATAAGACAGACAGAAAACACAACACGTAACACAGACATAAACCATCACCGCTCTGCTCGATGGTCTGCATTCAGGAGGCTCACAGATATGGGTAGGGACCAGGTCTTATACTGGTTTAGATATCTTTTCTTATGAGTGCGTCTGTGCTGTCCTGTTGGCCTTTCTATAGCCATTGGCAGGACTTCTAGAGATCAGCCACTTCTGCTTTGTTCGGGTGGTAGGGCTCAGTTGATAGGACTGGAACCTGGGAGGCCAAGGTTTGTTTCCCCTCTGGGGTAAAAATAACACCAACGTCCATCCAGTGAGGGTCCTTGGTCTTTACTGCTACTGCCTACCTCATGCCATGTATATGGACTACTGGGACAAAGCCTATACCTCAATGTCACACATGGATCATGGAGTGCTTCAAGTTTTACAAAATCAACCAGGCTCTATTAGGGCCGGGCGATAAAACAATAACGATATATTTCGCCGGGCGGCACAGTGGCTGAGTGGATAGCACTCTCGTCTCTCAGCAAGAAGCTCCTGGGTTCGAATCCCTGTCGGAACGGGGTCTTTATGGTTGGAGTTTCCCCGTGCTTGTGTAGGTTTCCTCCGGGTGCTGGTTTTCCCCTAACCTACCACTAGGTTAAATCCTCCAGCTTTGGGTTCACGGGCGCTGTACTGCCTTCCTTTGGTGGCCTTCCTTTGACCACCTCAACTTCAGTGGATTCTCCATCTACGACTATGACTACACAACTTCTGACGAAATCTTAAATCACTGCTTTAATCTTCTCGGCCCCATGGTCAGGCTCGGACTCCAAATCTTCATCCTGATCACTGCTCTCCTGGCCAACAGCGCCCTCCTGTGGCTGATGCTCAAATCCAGACACTATCTCTGCTGCTGTGACCCATCCTGCTCCACCCAGAGGCTACTCCATCTCTGCTGCTGTGACCTGAAGGGCTGTGGCTGATTATTACTATTGTTATCTTTTTTTAGAATGATCAATTTTCTTTTTTCTTTTTGCTACTACTGGACACCTGAATTTCTCCTTCGGGGGCTCAATAAAGTATCTATCTATCACCTGCTGCACATCGGAGACAGAGCATGTCTTGGCAAGTTCAAAGAGTTCAGAGAGACCAGAGAGAGACCAGAGAAAGAGCAGACCAGAGATAGAGTCTAGAGAAACCAGAGACCTCTTTCTGGTCTCTCTGGACTTTCTCCAGACCAGAAAGAGACCATAGACCAAGAGGAGACCAGGACATGCTGAGGGACCGAGTCTCTCAGCGTGTCCTGGGAAGGCCTCAGGATTCCCTCGGTTGAGCTCCAGAAAGTGTGTATGGAGAGAGAAGTGCTTAGACTGCTGCGCCTGTGACCCGACAGCGGATAAAGCGGAAGAATGGATGTACAGATGAAAACCTCAGCGTCCATCAGAAGACACAGAGCGACACTTGTTGAAAATATTTCATTTAGTATTTAACTGTTTATTTATTTTGCTGCCTTTATATGTAATGGATAAAAATCTAAAATTGATAAAGACTGTTTTTTAAACAGTTAGAAAACAGAAATATTGAAATGATTGACTTTATGTTTGTGAATGAATATGGTTATAATGTTTATGAAATATGTGCGTGAAATGTCCCCTCTGTGGAACCAATAAAGGATCTCATTATCAGACCACTGTGACCAGAGAGAGAGACCAGAGAGAGAGACCGGAGAGAGACACCAGAGAGAGAGACCGGAGAGAGACACCAGAGAGAGAGACCGAAGAGAGAGAAACCAGAGAGAGAGACAGACCAGACAAAGATAAGAAAGAGAGACTAGAGAGAGGCCAGAGAATGACCAGGGAGAGGAACCTGAGAGGGAGATACCAGCGAGAGAGACCAGAGAAAGAGACACCAGAGAGAGGACTAAGTGCAGCATAGACTTCCTTCATGGGGCCACACACAGAGACAGTTCAAACACTTTCAGTTTTGTATCAATAATATATTTGTGAGACATAAAAACATATTAAATATAACTCCATGTATTTACAGTATGAGTATGTACACTCTCCAAGACCGGAACATAAATATTTGTGTTTTTGATTATGAGTCCACGAGTCTCCGGCCGCAGTCAGCATCTGGTGCCGAGCGGGTCTGAGGAAACACCAGAGAATAGAGGTTTAACAGCCTCAGTCCTGGGTCTACAGCTTTAGTCCTGGTCCAGACCTGGTTCTCACCTCTGTTTGGACTATAGTGGACGTTCTCGTAGATCGGACAAACGTTATCTTGATCTCTGAGTTTTTGTGCTCGAAGAACGTCACGAACGCATTGATGCAGGTACGAGTACTGTACCTACAAACACAAACAAACGCACCCGCACTTAGATCTGTCTCTACAGTCTCTTGTGTTATAAATCTGTCTCTGTCCCTCACCTCCGTCTGAACCATGTGAGCCCGATGTAGACGCAGGTCGAACACACAGCCGTAGATGTCCACACAGTCTGAGGACGAGAGCTGCTGCAGGAGTCTGTCCAGGACTATGAAGGTCCCTGTGCGCCCCACACCAGCACTGAAGACAGAGAGACCAGTGAGAGACCAGTCAGAGACCAGAGAGAGACCAGAAAGTGACCAGAGAGAGACCAAAGAGAGACCACAGAGATACCAGTGAGAGACCAGACAGAGACCAGAGAGAGACCAGAAAGTGACCAGAGAGTGACCAGAGAGTGACCAGAGAGAGACCAGTGAGAGACCAGACAGAAACCAAAGAGAGACCACAGAGAGACCAGTGAGAGACCAGAGAGAGACCAGAGAGAGACCAGAGAGAAACCAAAGACAGACCACAGAGAGACCAGTGAGAGACCAGAGAGTGACCAGAGATAGACCAGTGAGAGACCAAAGAGAGACCAGAGAGAGACAAGAGAGAGACCAAATAGTAGCCAGAGAGAGACCAGAGAGAGACCAGAGAGACCAGAGAGAGACCAGTGAGAGACCAGAGAGAGACCAGAGAGTGACCAGAGAGAGACCAGTGAGAGACCAGAGAGAGACCAGAGAGTGACCAGAGAGAGATCAGTGAGAGACCAGAGAGAAACCAAAGAGAGACCACAAAACAGTGAGAGACCAGTCAGAGACCATAGAGGCCAGAGAAAGAACAGTAAAGTTTATGGCAAGTTCCTCATCCACATGGAGCAATACAGACAGTTTCCAACGAAAACTCTTCAAAGGAAAGAGCAGCACCTACAACAGCCCAAACTCTGACGGAAAGAGCTTCACTCATCCAAACACAGCTCCACGGCTCGTTACGCTGTCAGTATGCAAAGTATTGTCCTGGTGAGACTTGTGTGTAGTGTTACAGTAGATCCTTCTCCCCCTGAGCCACATGGGGGGTCTAAATTACTGTCACGTATCCGAACACTCCTTAGCAAAACAGGTCGGTCAATCGACAACTGGTGGTTGATTCGGTCTCTGGACTCTGGGTCTTTGGTCTCTGTGTTGTGGACTTGCCTGCAGTGGACCAGTGTGGGCCCGGCTCCTGGACTGCGGTTCACGTAGTCCCTCACGGTGCGCACAAACTGGACCAGGCTGTGGGTGGTCTCCGGGACCCCGTGATCTGGCCACACTGTGTAGTGGAACTGCCTCAGGACTCTGGCCGGTCCCAGACGGTCCTCCTGATCCAAACCAGAACCAAACCAGACCATTATAAATGCTATCCAGTGATGACAGTGATGATCCAGGTGGTCTCAAGCAGGACTAAAGCAGGACTAAAGCAGACCTAAAGCAGGTCTAAAGCAGGTCTAAAGCAGGTCTAAAGCAGGTCTAAAGCAAAGATAAATCAGGACCAAAGCAGGTCCAAAGCAGGACTAAAACAGGACCTACGGAGCAAATGCTGAACTCGCGGATGGTCCACTCCGGCAGCACAGACTCGGACCTCATCTGCACGATCAGGTCTCCATAGAACAAAGGCTCCTGGTCCCGGGGCCAGTACAGGTCGCACTTCACCTGCAGAAGCACACGTCAACATGCATCAGAGCCTTAGTCCTGGATCGACAGCCTCAGTCCTGGATCGACAGCCTCAGTCCTGGATCGACAGCCTCAGTCCTGGATATCTTTCATCTCTTTCTGGTTTCAGTCTCTTTGGTCTCTCTCTGGTCTCTCTCTCTTTGGTCTCTTGTTGGTCTTTCTATAGTCTCTCTTTTGTCTCTCTCTGGTCTCACTCTTTTTAGTCTCTCACTCTCTTTGGTCTCTCTCTAGTATCTCTCTGGTCTCTCTCTCTTTGGTCTCTCCCTGGCCTCTGTTCTATATAAAGCCCTCCAAGACGACTGCTGTTGTGATTCAGGGTGATACACAAGTAAATCATACAGAATGACCCGGACACATGACTGACCCGTCCCTTCTCCACACACTGCGTCACCATCACCACGTTGTGCACGTTCTGCTCCCACACCATCCTCCAGAAGTCGTCTTTGGTCCCGGGCAGAGGCCCCTGGGTCGCAATGTACTCACGCCGGAAGTGAGAGCCCTGGGCACACACACAAGCACCACCTATCTATGAGGTCACAGGGCAGTCTATGATGTCAGAGGTGGACAAACTATGATGTCACAGGGGGCGGACTATGATGTCACGGGGGCGGACTATGATGTCACAGGGGGCGGACTATGATGTCACAGATAGACTCACCGGGATGTAGCTGGCGTTGATGTAGTCAGAGCTGGGGTCGTCGTCTGTGTACGACAGTTTAACACGCGTCGAGTCGTCTGAAAATACAAGACAGATATCAAACCAGAGATTGTGAAAAACCAGAGTGAGAGAGACCAGACAGAGACTAGAGAGCGACCAGGGAAAGAGGGACCAGAGAGAGACCGGAGATTGGCGAGAGAGAGTGACCGGAGAGAGACCAGTGTGAGACCAGAGAGAAACCAGAGAGAGAGACTAGAGAAAGACCAGAGAGAGACCAGAGAGAGAGACCAGAGCGAGACCAGGGAGAGACAAGGGAGAGACAAGGGAGAGACAGTGAACTGAGAGGGACCTGAGAGGCTCTAAGTTTTTCCCACACGGCACATGAGAAGCACGTTAGAAAAAAGCAACATCCATCCATCCATCCATTTTCTTCCCCTTAATCCATTTCTGGGTCGGGGGGGTGGCAGTCAGAGCTGCACCCAGTACACTCAGCACCAGCCCCTCACTGATCCTCCTGCAGGTGGTGAGTCCACAGGAGCTGAGATCTTTCAGTGGGGGCTTCAGGCAAAGTGGGGTTAAATGTCTTGCCCAAGGACACAACGACAGCAGTCATCAGTGGGAGTCGTGAAGTAGGTCTTATGGTGGGCTCGAACCCACGACCTTCAGGCCCAAAGGCCAATGCTCTACCAACTAAGCAACATCGAACATGAATAATCCACAAAACAGAAAAAGGTGAACATAAATCGCAGATAGAAATGTGCGTTATTATTTTGTCACCATTTAGTTAAGGGTAGTTTGTACTTCTGCAGTACCCAATTTAGCCATTAGCCGTAAGCTCCAAACACTCTAGCCTGGAACTAGCATGGAGGGCTACGTCAGGCCTACGCAGTACTATCTCCCATGATGCTTTACGATGTGGCTGAGTGGTTAGCACCCTCGCTTCTCAGCAAGAAGGTCCTGGGTTAAAATCCCGGTCGGAAAAGGGCCTTTCTGAGTGGAGTTTGCATGTTCTCCCCGTGTCTGCGTAGGTTTCCTCCAGGTGCTCCGGTTTCCCCTACCACTAAAAACCTGCACAATAGGTATGAATGTGAATGAGAGAGTGAATGGGTGGTGTTGATTTGGGGCTGATGGTCCAGCGTGTTTGGCGACTCGCTTTCGTCATCACCGTGTGTGGAATGATTGGAACAATATCTGAACTCTGAACATTGTAAAGCGCTTTGGGTCTGTACCTTGGTCTGTAAAATGCGCTATATAAATAAACGAAGCAAAGGAAGGTTTCTCACCCATCATCTGTACTTCTTAGCAAGTTTTCCCGACGTTTCGTCCTCAAACTAGCGGACTTCTTCAGGGAATGAATTCTCGGACCGCGCGTTGGAGATTTATAACCTCTGGGTGTGGTTAGCCACACCCTAATCCTGGTACTAACTCGTAAACAATCTCAGGTCTGCTTGATGTAGAAGGGAGTAGGTCTAACGACCCTGCTGAGGCTAACGACCCTAACTCCTTAGCATGTCACAGACCTATTGTCTGCTGGGATGCTCAAGTGGAGTGCAGGTCTCACCCCTCCTAACTCATTAGCATGTCACTGACCTTGTCCCAAGTTAGGGCGTTGTTTTTAGGATGTCGTCATAGATGCGAGGCAAAACAAATCTTAACCCTCCTCTTCTGTTAAAAGAAGGTTTTTGTTTCCTCACAAAAATGGCTTCTTTCACTCCTCTCTCAAACCAATTCTTCTCCCGAGCCAGAATTTTAACCTCTGTGTCATCCACCGTGTGGTTGGAGGCCTTGAGGTGGAGATGAACAGCCGACTGTGGCCCACTAGAGTTTTCTCTACGATGTTGGTAAAGTCGTTTCTGTAGAGTTTGTTTGGTTTCTCCAATATAGTGGTTAGTGCACTCCTCTTCACTACATTTAATTGAATACACCACATTGCTCTGTTTGTGTCTGGGTGTTTTGTCTTTGGGATGCACTAATTTCTGTCTTAACGTGTTGAAAGGTTTGAAATACACAGGGATTTTGTGTTGCCTAAAGATTCTTTGTAGTTTCTCTGAAACTCCCGCCACATACGGTAAGGACACCCCTCTCCTCCTACTTTCTTCTGTCTGTTGGACTGTGTCTCTGGCCTTTCTCGTCCTTTGGGCTTTAGTAAAAGACCACTTGTTAGCCATTTTTGTGAGGAAACAAAAACCTTCTCTTAACAGAGGAGGAGGGTTAAGATTTGTTTTGCCTCGCATCTATGACGACATCCTAAAAACAACGCCCTAACTTGGGACAAGGTCAGTGACATGCTAATGAGTTAGGAGGGGTGAGACCTGCACTCCACTTGAGCATCCCAGCAGACAATAGGTCTGTGACATGCTAAGGAGTTAGGGTCGTTAGCCTCAGCAGGGTCGTTAGACCTGCTCCCTTCTACATCAAGCAGACCTTAGATTGTTTATGAGTTAGTATCAGGATTAGGGTGTGGCTAACCACACCCAGAGGTTATAAATCTCCAACGCGCGGTCCGAGAATTCATTCCCTGAAGAAGTCCGCTGGTTTGAGGACGAAACGTCGGGAAAACTTGCTAAGAAGTACAGATGATGGGTGAGAAACCTTCCTTTGCTTTGACTAATCCCTGTACGACTGAGGGCTTACACAAACTATATAAATAAACATTACTTACATACTTACAGAGAGAGCGCCTGGTGTAATGTGAATGCTTTTAAGTGTATGCGTGTGTACTGTTACGTTGTCATCTGTGACATCATAGATAGAGGGTGTGTGTGACATCATAGATAGAGGGTGTGTGTGACATCATAGAAAGAGTGTGTGTGTGACATCATAGATAGAGGGTGTGTGTGACATCATAGATAGAGCTCATGACAGTTCTCATAACAGTGAAACGCACAGGGCAGGATGTTGTTGTAGCGGTTCTTCCCTCGGTTCTCGGGCAGCAGAGCGGTGTCCAGGGGCTGGTTCCGGCCCACATCCTTTAAGTCCTGTCACCACAAGGGGGCAGTGTGTTCAGTGAATGTCAGACAGAACGTCCTCAAAGCTCCCACCTCCTCAGAGAACCTTAGTCTAAGGGACTTTATCTAAAAATGTCCTTGGTTTTACAAGCTCAAACCAGCTCTATCCAGTTAAAACCAGCATTGACCAACTCCAAAACAGTTCAAACCAGTAGCGGCGCCAGGTTTGCAATTTTGGGTAGGCCTGCAGATTAGTAAGTAGGCCAAATTCGCACGCAAACTACAAGGGGTAGCTGGAATTGGGGTTTCAAAGAATATGGTTCAAACGCACGCACGCACACATGCACGCACACGCACTCAAGCACACACATACACACAAGCTCATTTATGAAACTTGCGTAGAAAAATGTGTACATTTGGGGTGTATATTCCATTTACGCAAAATCCAACGTCGGATTTATGAACGTGTGAGATCAGCCCAGATCTGAGCGTATACGCAGCTGCGGGTGTTGATAAATCGGCTGAATACGAACGTATTTATGAAAGTCACGCCTAGAATTATGCAGCAATGGTCGCGACAGGTCAGCACGGAAGTCCAAAAAGACTGTTGGAAGCCTCAAAAGGCACGTTTGTTTGTTATGTTTATGTAAAAATGAATATATATTCAGCTGCGTTTTTCACAAATTTGCAAAAATAGTTTTGATACATTAGAAAAATCTCTCTTGAATTGTAGAAGTGAATAAATATAGATTGATTGAATGAATGAATTCATATATATTATGCAGCGGTGGCTCTCATGAATGAAGCGTCTGCAGTGTCTTGGACGCAGCCTGGCTCGGGGTAGAAGTGCGCATTGAAGCACTGTACACTTCAGAGAGTGTTTGCGGTCCAGATTTCACAAAGAAACTCTGGAGCCAAAACTTCTGCACATTTGAGGAGTTATGTGGCGCGATATCTCACGGCACTCGCTGCGCACTCTGGACAGGGCAGTGAGACATTTGGAGTGAGCAATACCATCGGTGCGTTATTGGGGTGTGTGTCTGTGTGAGGCTGACACAAATCTAATGAAATAACACATTGCTTTACCAGATGTGAGGAATACAAATAGCCATGCGTAATTACGCAGTGCAGAGCCTGCCACAGCAATAGACGGGTCACACATCCCTGTTGCGTAAAGTGTATTTATATAGAGCCTTTCACTGTCCAGGATCACAAACCGCTTCACATTTTAAAAACATACAGATCAAAATAATACACACACAAGTCAGATTTAATAGAGGGTCCTGATCATGAGCTGTGATTTATTCGAAGTTTGCATTTTTCCATTAGACTTTTTCCGATGCGCAAATTCAACTTTTGAAACATGATGCTCAATGCCTCTGGGACCTACGGCCCCGGGCCTCTGGCTCTTCTACCTCACAAAGTTCACGCTGAACTTTCTTAAAACTAAAATGACTAAAAAGGCTGCTCTGTTGTGAATGTTTTGAGAGTGTTGTCAATCTTAAAGACGAGGAATGGCTGCTTGTTCTCGGGAACGAGCTTCGCGCTGTGTGATATGATCATGCAGATTATTGGACAAAATTATTCAGCCAATAAACAGGACTATTTGAAGCAACGTGAACGCTCAGGGGGTTACATTTTCTTAAAACATTAGAACGCAACATTTAGGCAATAATGTGTGTATAAAAATAACAATATTTAAATTATGACTTTTAATAAAAAGGCTAATGACTTGAGAGGCGAAGAACAAATTTGAGTAGGCCAAGAAAAAAACTGGTAGGCACCGGCCTACCCGGGCCTATCCCTGGCGCCGCGGCTGGTTCAAACTACTTCCATCCAGTTGAAACCACTACTAACTAGTTTTCATTACCTCGTACTCCTGGGACAGCAGGTAGTGGGAGTCACTCTGCAGTTTCACCAGATGAGCCTCAAAGTTCAGAACTTTTATGGGACTGAGGAAGAAAACAACAACTGAAATGTGAAGTGTAGAAAAAGCATCAATAACAGCAATAGTTGTAGTGGCAGCAGTAGCAGCAGCAGTAGGAGAAGCAGTAGAGGAAGCAGTGGCAGTAGTTGTAGCAGCACAAGTATTTACCTGGAGATACGCCTTTGTCTGTGGAAAGAAAGCAACAGTTTCAGTTTTGATTTTAAACTAAAAACATGTTTTTAATTCTTTGGAACAAATTGACTGGTGACCCAAGTGGGGTACAGGGGCGGGGCTTGTCATGCAGGGGCGGGACTTGTCATACAGGGGTGGGGCTTGTCATGCAGGGGCGGGGTTTCTTTACATAAAGATAAAGAGAGATTCCGACCCTCTGAGGCCGAGCTGCACCGCAGACGTGGGCCTCTCTCTCGAGTTTCTGCGGACTATCGGAACCTCCTCAGCTCTGGAGCAGACACAAACCACCACCATCATCATCATCATCATCATCATCTTTCCTTTGATTCTGTGATCCTTCTCACTTTTTACTATTCGAAACTTTTATCTTTTCTTGGGCTTTACTTCCTGGTTTATTGCTGGGTTAAGGTAAATCCTTAAAGCACAGGTGTCAAAGTCAAGGCCCGGGGGCCGGATCTGGCCCACGAGACCATTTCCGGTGGCCCCTGAGATGATTTTAAATCATTATATTGAATAGCAGCATTTGTAAGCAGGCCTGTTTAATCATATTTTTAGTGTGGACTTTTATTGTGTGGTTTTATTTGTTGCATGGCTTGTTTTATTGCATGGTTTTATTTGTTTTTATGAGTGTTTTTATTCACTCTTAATGTGATGCCTTGCTGCCCCGAGCCACATGAGCCTCAGCCAATGCCTGCGCTCCAAGCTTAATCATAAGGGCGGACTGGGAGAGACGCAGCGATATGGAGAGGGGAGCAGAATACGGGACAACACAGCACCGGGTACGCGACTCGGAACACCAACAGAGAACACCACGAGGCTGAACTACCGCAGGAGGCAGAGGACGCTCTGCTTTCACGTGTAATTACCTAAACGCATTGAGTAGTGGTGTTTGTGAAGTAGCCTTTGGCGGGGGGACTCGTTGGGGTGTATTGGTACTTTCTGTGTGGATGTGCTCTGCCTCCAGGGTCCACGGCACCGCAAGAGACGCGATCTACCGGGTTGAGCCCTGCGAGGCGTAATCCAGATGGCGGCCGAGTGTAAAAACTCGGCCTCGCTGGTGAGTGTGGGACGAATGTGTGTATAGTTTGCTGTTGGCCTCCCCTCCGCTGCTGCTGTGCTATTTGTGCCCGGAACGCTGTTAAGACCGGTTGTGTGTGTTTTTTTTATTGACCATTTTAATCAGCTTTTTTTTTTTTTTAATGGGACTTTTTTAACCTTTTATTTTTGTAAATAAATTATTGTTTTATACAAACATCTATCTTGTTTCTACGTGCTCCCCTATCACACATTGCTAGTAATAGGCGATTATGGCATGTTTTCCATTACTAATTTTCTCAAGAAAACAACCGTAAAATGTAATTTCATAAGAAATATTAAGCCAACATGTCATTAGAAGTTAGTATTGTTATGTTATGCTTTTAACGAGTCTTCAATTACATTTCTTCTTAAAGATATGAAGGAGGATTTCACAATTTTCTTAGGAAAGAACCGCCCTCTCCACTTTTTGAACAAAACTCTCTGGTTTTATTTGACGAGCGGAATCACCAGAATGATTGACAATTGGGAGGACCAATCGTCTTGATGATCCACCCAAAAGTAGAAAATCCTCCTATATACCTTCAATATTTGGTCCAGTTTTGGTTCAGTTTTGGTTCAGTCCACAGGAACTGAACTAATTCTAATCAGAAAAGAATATCCAATATAACTAATGTGAAACAAGTCATTTATTTAGATGCCTTCATATTCCAAAAAAATTGTATCAATGAAACCCACTTATTTTATTCGGGCCCCTGACCAGCCCTTTCTTTTTTATTCGGCCCTCAACAGTTTGACACCCCTGCCCCAAAGTATTTGAATGTTTTAAGGCTATAAAACCTCTCACACACACTTTTCTAACAACCTGAACTCACAACTGCTGAAGTGCAATCACAGAGATATCAAAGCTGTTGTAGGTCTGAGAGCTCTTTCTGCTCTCTCTGTGGTCTATTCATGGTCTATCTGTGGTCTCTCTCTGCAGCCTCTCTCTGGTCTCGCTCTGGTCTCTCACTGCTCTCTCTTTGCTCTCTCTTTGCTCACTCTGGTCTCGCTCTGGTCTCTCACTCTGGTCATACAGGACTAAAACATTTTGGTTATTGTAGTCCAAGGATGAAGCCTCACAAATAAATCATATTTTTTAAACTAGATTGATCTGAAATTTGATTTTTTTTCCCCCTCTATCTGACTTTGAGTTTGATGTATTTCCACAGAGCTGTTGTTACACAAATGTAATTATTATTAAGATCCTCCTCCTCCTCCTCATACAGTATTAGCCTGGAGGGAAAGGAGATTTCAGCTCACTTACACTTTGCGAGACTTTCGCCGACAGACGATGAGAGCGGTGACTCCGATGAGAACAGCCACGAGGGACAGCCCAGCGCTCACTCCCTCCACAACACCACTGCGCGGCTCTGACACACATTTCAAACAGATTCAGAGGTGGAGACTACGCCCTGTGAGTCCAATAGTGGCTCACAGGGCTCTTTCAAACATAGTGTGTCTGCTTTGTTCTGGTCCTGTACTTGGTCATGGTCCTGGTTCTGGTCTCGGTACTGGTCCTCAAACTTACCGGCCGCCGTGACGACAGGTAGAGAGAGGAAAGTGTCTGAGAAGAGAGGAGCCTCATCCTCCTCTGAAAGCAGCGTGAAGGCTCTGACACTGATCCTGCAACGACACAAACCAGAAGTACTGCCTGCTCCTAAAGCTGGGTATGCGACATGTAACTGGTCTTTGAACAGATCACAGCTTAAAAACAGCTGGTCTCTCTGGTCTCTCTCTGGTCTCTCTCTGGTCTCTCTCTGGTCTATCTCTGGTCTATCTCTGGTCTATCTCTGGTCTCTTTCTGGTCTCTTTCTGGTCTCTTTCTGGTCTCTTTCTGGTCTCTTTCTAGTCTCACTCTGGTCTCTCTCTGGTCTCTCTCCGGTCTCACTCTGGTCTCTCTCCGGTCTCTCTCTATGGTCTCTCTCTGGTCTCTCTCTGGTCTTTCTCTGGTCTCTGGTATCTCGCTGGTCTCTCCCTCCTGCCTCTGCCTCTCCCTCTTTTCTCTCTCTGGTCTCTCTCTGGTCTATCTCTGGTCTCTTTCTGGTCTCTTTCTAGTCTCCCTCTTTTCTCTCTCTGGTCTCTCTCTGGTCTCTCTCTGGTCTCTCTCTGGTCTCTCTCTGGTCTCTCTCTGGTCTCTCTCTGGTCTCTCTCTGGTCTCTCTCTGGTCTCTCTCTGGTCTCTCTCTGGTCTGATACCTGTAGGCAGTGTTGGGCTTGAGCGGTCCGTCACAGAACACATCTTCATTCTCCAAACAGGGACCCCCGAGGAGAGCCATACCAGAGCCCAAACTGATGTGGAACCCCTCTGCAGACTGGTCCAAAGCCTGGTCCAAAGCCTGGTCCGGTCCCTGATCCGATCCCTGGCCCTTAGAGCACACACTCTCAAAGTATCCGGTTTGGTACGATCGCACAGAGCTGTTGGACATGTAGTCACTGTAGGAGGCCAGAGGGTGGCGTTGTTCCGGCTGCAGACTCAATGGGTCTGAAGGGAAACGAGAAGAGTGGATTTATTTTACAATTTGCCAAAGCACTAAAGCTGGCGCTGGGTAGTCAACGTCAGAGGAACAATGTCCAGCAGAAAGAGGAGAGGTGGTTGTGGTTGCGGTGAGTGAGGTGCATACCGTCTGACTCGGACACCACGACGGTGAAGAAACGCACGGCTCCGTTGACATCACTGAACCAGCTGCAGTTGAACCGGAACAAGATGAACGACTGAGAAACCGGAGAGTCTGCGCTGACACGGGTGGAGAGAGGGGGCACGGGCGGACCTGCCAAGAGAACCACGGGTGAGAGGGTCTGAACTGGGTCTGAAGACGGACTAAATCAGAACTCTCTCAACAGGGGCCTACCCTAGGCTCCCACAGACGGTCAGTGGGTAGATCGGATCAGTCTCTACTTCAGTCCAGGCTCAGTCCTGGTCCAGTCTCTGCGTCAGTGTTGGTCCAGTCCTGCTTCAGTCCTGACTCGGTCCTGCTTCAGTCCTGACTCGGTCCTGGCCCAGTCCTAATTTAGTCCTAACTTGGTCCTAACTCAGTCCTGGCCCAGTCTTCACTCTGTCCAAATCCAGTAAAAAAAAATGCTGCCTTTAACTCTCTAAGTTACCACCAGAGGGAGGAGTGGACATGCAATTCCTGCTGGTCTCAATCACTGGTCTCTGGTCTCTCTCTGGTCTCTCTCTGGTCTTTCTCTGGTCTCTCTCTCTAGTCTCTCGCTGGTCTCTCTCTGGTCTCTCTCTGGGCTCTCTCTGGGCTCTCTCTGGGCTCTCTCTGGGCTCTCTGATCCTCAGTCCTGGCCCAGTCCTGACTCAGTCATGGTCCAGTCTTGACTCGGTCCTGGCCCATTTCAACTCAGTCCTGGTCCAGTCCTAACTCGGTCCTAGCCAAGTCCTGACTCGGTCCTGGTGCAGTCCTGCTTTGGTCCTGACTCAGTCCTGGTCCGGTCCTAGCTCAGTCCTGGTCCTTACGGTCGATCATGGTGATGACGCTCTCAGTGGCCGGTTCGCTGATGCTCCGGTCAGAGATGACTTTGACGGTGACGGCGTAGTTGCGGTGAGGCTCCAGGTCCTGGATGAGGTAAAAGGTGTGGTCCGGTGTAGTGCGGCGGGAGTACACCGGGACCCGCGTCTCCTGCACCACACACTCCACACTGTAAGAGTCGAAGTCGGCCACAGGGGGCGCCCACAAGCAGGAGATGGAGGTGGAGCTCTGAGGACGGCAGTGAAGGCCCAGGACACCGCCCGGTTCTGGAACACACACAATTATAATAATAATAATAATAATTCATAGTTTTATATAGCGCTTTTATGGACACTCAAAGACGCTTCACATGTGTCATTATTCATTCACTCCATACACGGTGGTGATAAACTACTACAGTAGCCACAGCTGCCCTGGGGCACACTGACAGAAGCGAGTTCCAAGAGGAACAGGTCTAAAGGACGAGGACAAGACAAATGGAATAAGAGATTACCAGAAAGTGGTAGGAGTCTAAAAGAATATGTTCATGAAAATGTGGTGAAACAGGTATCAAAGATAAAAAAAAATGCTGCCTGGAACTCTCTAAGTTGCCACCAGAGGGAGTAGTGGACATGCAATTCCTGCTGGTCTCAATCACTGGTCTCTGGTCTCTCTCTCTGCTCTCTCTCTGCTCTCTCTCTGTTTCTGGTCTCTCACTGGTCTCTGGGCTCTCTGATCTCTCACCTCTCTGGGGACTCTCTTTCCTCTCACTGGTCCCTTTCTCTCTAGTCTCTCTCTGGTCTCTCTAGTCTCTCTCTTCTCTCTGGTCTCAGTGGCTCATTTGTGGTAAAATGCCTGTGCAAACTCACTAGTGCGAATGCTCTGGCTGATGCTCTGGCTGTAGACCCGGTCCTGGTCCGTGGCTCCGCTGACCGTGCGCAGGCTGAAGCGGTAGAGTCTCCCCGGGTGCAGCCCCCTCACCAGGCGGCTTGCTCCCCCCCGATGGTACGGGTTCACCACAGACAGGGAGTCAGGGGGCTCCCACCACAGAGACACGTCGTCCAGGTCACAGCCGAGGGGCGGGGTCCAGGCCAGCTCCAGAGACGTGTTTGTGACAGCACCAAAGAGCAGAGAGGAGGGGGGGAGGGGGGCTGGACCACAACACAGGGACCATGTGAGAGATGGAGACGAGAGACCAGAGAGACCAGAGAGAGAGCAGAGAGAGATCAGAGAGAGACAAGAGAGAGACCAGAAAGAGACCTGAGAGGGACCAGAGAGAGAGAGACCAAACACTTGTGTGCTGGTGTGTCTTACCGGTCCTGGCCTGTGTGGTGGCGCTGTTGCGTAGCTCTCCACTCGCACTGGTCACCACAGCCGTGTACATGCGTCCTGGTGTGAGCCCGCTGAAGCTGTAGCTGGTGATCTCTGGTCCCACCTGGTCCTCACAGTGCACGGTCCCATTTGGCTCCAGCAGGACCAGGCCAATCCAACTCAGCTCCCCCTCAGGTCTGCCCCAGGACAGGTCCAGAGAGCCGGTCCGGTTTGAGCTGAGGGCCTGAAGACTGACCACGGCAGCCGGCACTAAAGGTGGACAAGAAGTATCTGTCATCACATGGAGCAGCGGCTCTATTCCGAGCCTCTACTTTTCTGTCTCTGGCCCCGACTCCTCTGGCTGCGTAAAACATACTACGTATCCGTCCAAACGTGTCCGTTTCATCCCCATTTCCGTTTTCTCCATGAGGGTGAATGGAAGTGGCTCCACTGCCAGCGACATGCGTCCGTATGACGCGCGTAGGAAGCAGTCCGTCCACGCAGGGTCAGGGTGCAACGGACTCGGACGGACAAAATAGAAACAATCCTATTTTTTACGTACGTTGGTGCGTGTATGGTCCTTTTTTGTTGGCAATACAAAGGAAAAATATATTTACCACATTATTTAACATGTATTATTATGCTGTATTTCTTGGTTATAAGTGTTACATGAAAATAAATTACTCACATTTGTTAATAATCGTTGTCGTTAGACAATGATTATTAACAAATGTGAGTAATTTATTTTCATGTGTTAAATTGAAATAATTGTTTCCTGATTGTAAATCTGCCGTTTAGTTATTGCGTAATGTCAATATTGACCCACTTTCAAAAAAGCCTGGATATGTTGGAGTTCTTTTCTCTCTCCACCCTTTTTACCAATTGCTTTGAATAAGTTTTGCCTCATGCATCGCGACATCCTCGATGCCGTGCTTTGCATAGATCATAGCCACAGCTCATGCAAATAACACACTGCTTCTTTTATTTGAATAGTCTGAAGTTAAAACAAAGCCCTAAACACAGAGGGGGGTGCTGCGCGCTGCTGAAGCCCGTATGGCCACTATTCCGTTTTACGCACGTCTGACGGGCAGCAGCCTACACGCGTAAACGGAGACGCGGCCGGTCGAGTCTAGCACTAAGAGAGTGACACTCTGCGGAGGAAACTCGTGTGGGCCGCCTGTGTCCTCCATCTGGTCCTTTAGGGAAGGACCTGTAGTGACACGGTGGCCGTGTGGTTAGCACTCTCACCTCTGCACTGAAGAGGACCGGGACCAGGACCAGGAGAGGACCATGACCGGTCCCAGGACACACACACACACAATAATGTCTCACCGGTGCGTGCCCCCACAGAGGTGTGGTTCCTCTGCTCTCCGCTCCTGGTCTCCAGCCTTAGCTGATACTCTGCCCCCGGCCTGAGTTGCCTGAAGCTGGCCCCCCCCAGGGCGCGGTCCCCAGAGCGCCGCTCCTGCACTGAGCCGTCCCAGCGCAATAGCGTCATGTGGAATCCATCAAAGTCCCCCAGAGGTGCTGACCACGAGAAGGAGAGGGAGGAGGGCGAGGAGGAGCGGAGGGCCAGGTCTGAGGCTGCGGCCGGAGCTGCGACACACACACACACACAGTAAACACACAAGGAAACTAGAGTCTAGAAGGAGTTCAGTTGTGGGAGCCCTTTGAATCACTACTTGACTGTTTGGGTTGAAAGCTGATTTTGTGGTCGCAATTAGAAAATCACAAAAACTGCAGGTATTTAATTTCTTTGCAGAAAAACAAGGATTACTCTTTGGTATCTCTCTGGTCTCTTTCTGATCTCTCTCTGGTCTTTCTCTGGTTTTCCTCTCTGGTCTCCATCTGTTCTCTGTCTGGTTTCTCTCTGTAGTTTCTATCTGGTCTCTCTCAGATCTCTCTGGTCTCTCTTGGTTTGTCTCTCTGGTGTCTCTCTGGTCCTTCTGGTCTCTCCCTAGTCACTCACTGGTGGTGGCATGCACCATGGCAGCCGCACTGCGCTCTTCCCCGCTGGTCGTCTGCACCAGGAGCTTGTATTTGTGTCCGGGCCGCAGACCATCGAACTGGTGATGGGTCAGGTCCGTGGAAACATTGGCCACAGCGCCCCCTGTCTGCTCCTGGAGGCTGAGGCTGTATCCGTCAGCCACCCCCAATGCAGGCTCCCAGCTCAGCTCCAAACAGCCCCAGGAGCGGGAAGCAGAGACCAGCAAGCCCGCCACACTGGAGGGGACTGCAACGAGAGAAAGAGGGAGGATTAAAGCAGAAATAATGCAGAATGTCCTCAGTCCTGGATCTACAGCCTCAGTCCTGGGTCTACAGCCTCAGTTCTAGGTCTACAGCCTCAGTCCTGGGTCTACAGCCTCAGTCCTGGGTCTACAGCCTCAGTTCTAGGTCTACAGCCTCAGTCCTGGGTCTACATCGTCATTCCTAGGTTTGGAGCCTCAGTTCTTGTCTACAGCCTCAGTCCTGGGTCTACAGCCTCAGTCCTGGATCTACCGCCTCACCCGTCCTTGCAGTCGCGGTCCGGTTGTTGTCCAGATCTCCACTCAGCGTTTGCACCACGAGGCTGTAGCTCTGACCCGGCTGCAGAGACTGGAACTGGGCCTGGGTCCGGTCTTTGGGGACCGGTCTGGAGTCCAGGAGCCGGGACTCTCTGAGGAGGTGGACCCTGTAGCTGTCCACATCCCCCACAGCGGACGCCCAGGTCACCGTCAGACTGCTGCTGTCGCCTCCGTTAGACACATGCACGTTCTTCACCTGCCCTGGGACTGATCACACACAGACACACACACACACAAACACACAGAGAGAGAGACATAAATACACGTACACACAGAGACAACCACGCACACACACACAGAGACACACACATACATCCAGTGACACATACACACACACAGAGACATGTACACAGGCACACCATAAAAACCTTTGTCTTAGGGTTAGGATTAGGTGAGATATAGTTTTTACAACAAAGAGTCTTGTTGAACAAATCCTACCATAACACACTGTCTTCATCTCACCCTTTGATTTAATATTTGACTTTGGAATGAGAGCTAATTGGCTAGCTTTCTGGTCTCCCTCTATGATCACTTTTTTGTTTCTCTATGGTCACTTTCTGGTCTCTCTGGTCTCTCTCTGATCTCTCTCCCTGGTCTTTCTCTATGGTCACTTTCTGGTCTCTCTGGTCTTTCTCTCTGATCTCTCTCCCTTGTCTTTCCCTGGTCACTTTCTGGTCTCTCTTTCTCTGGTTTATCTATCCCTGGTCTTTCTCTGGTTTCTCTCTGGTCTCTCTCTGGTCTCTCTCTGGTCTCTCTCTGGTCTCTCTCTGTTCTCTCTCTGTTCTCTCTCTGTTCTCTCTCTGTTCTCTCTCTGTTCTCTCTCTAGTCTCTCTCTGGTCTCTCTCTGGTCTCTATCTGGTCTCTATCTGGTCTCTTTCTGGTTCCTCTCTCTGGTCTCTATCTGGTCTCTTTCTGGTTCCTCTCTCTGGTCTCTTTATGATCACTTTCTGGATCCTCTGTCGGGTCTCTCTCTCTGACCTCTCTCTCTGGTCTCTTCCTCTGGTCTCTTTCTCTCTGGTCTCTCTCTGATATCTTTCTGGTCACTTTCTGGTCTTTCTCCGGTCCCTCTCTCTGGTATCTCTCTCTAGTCTCTCTCTGCATGGTCCCCTCACCTGTGCGTCCCTGTATGTACGCGGCCCGCTGGTTGGGACCACTGAAGGTGGACACCAGGATCTTGTAGAGACGTCCTGGGGTGAGTGAGGAGAGGGTGCAGTGGTCCACAGAGCTGCCCAGAGTCTGTGGAGGAAAGACTCGGATGTCATTGTAGACCACCTGCACTTCGTAGTGGTCCACCTCTCCTGGAGCCGAGAGCCACGCCACGCTAAGAGAGTCCGGAGAGGAGGAGGACAGGCGGAGCGAGCGCACCGGGGCCGGGACTGAGGAGACACACGGGAAACACATATTGTTAAAACGTCTGCACTACAATACCCATGATGCTCCTGTTTGTATTGTAGTTCCTCTCTGGTCTCTCTCTGGTTTAAAGTGGACATATTGTGTTTTGAAATAATTGATTTTTACATCTAAATCATTAATTTGTGGCCTATATAAAGCGTAACTGCAATGCCAGGGTCTGAGTCTCATTATTTGTAGCTCCACGGGCCTTTCTTCTACACCTGTTCTGAGGTGCGTCTGAGAGCAACCTGTTTTGGTGCTGTCTCTTTAAATGCAAATGAGGCGCTTTAGACCACGCCCCCATCCAGGTGACACAGGTTGAACTCCACCCCGAGCGGCCATTTTTGTAGTTTCTAAGCACAGATACAATTATCTCATAGAAACTTCTCATTACATCACAAACATGAAGCAGTCCTTCCTCATTGACTGAAAGCAAATGTTAAGTTTCATTCTTAGTCCAGTCTTATTATCGACTCTTCTCTTTTTAGCTTTGAGATCCATGCGCACAGTCTATGATGCTCACACGCCGGTTTGACAGACACGTTGACAGAAATGTTTAAATTGAATATTACTTATGCACAATTTTACAGCATTTAAAAACGTTAAGAACGTTTTTCCTTCTACAGAAGGAAAGAGACGCATGTGTCTCCGGAGCCGCAGGTTGCCGGCTCCTAGTTTATACAGTATGTGGAAGGAAAAAATGTAGAGAATCAGGATATGTGCAGTTTCAACAATAAAATAAAATGCAATAGTCTACATTAAAGAGAGTAATAAACATGTCTCAGAGTGAGGGAGGTGAACACACAGACAACACTATTGTTTGTTACAGGGATGAGAATTGGTCAAAAAAGACTAAAATGCATATTGTCAGCCATTTGCTGGCTCTAAATCTGTTTAATTTGTTCACAACATTTTACTTTTGGGCTCAAACATGAACTTTTAATGCAATGCAAAATGTAGATATCAGAGCTTTATTTAGGGCGTTTAATGGCGCTTCGAGAGGAGAGGGGAGACGCGGACTGTTTCCTGCAGCAGTGTATTTATTGGGTGCACAGATTACTCAAAGACACGCATGGTCCTGTGCGCGTTTATGGGGTTGGGTACATGGCCACGATGAGGCTGCGCGCTCAGCCACAACACGGTGGAGCGGCTGCGAGCGGCTGGACGCTCACAGCCTCTCGCAGCCGCTGGACGCTCACAGCCTCTCGCAGCCGCTGGACGCAGAAGCTGCTCATTACAAAGCGGCCGCAGATGCCCCGGAACACTGCGGCCGCTGAGGTGGTGGAATCCCGTTCGAGTATATACAGCAGGTGCCCCGCGGATACGCGCGCCCCGCTCAAACAATTCTCAACGGATTTACACTTCTCATAAACATGTGTTTTGTATGAGGCAGAGAGACCGGCCCAAATATGGGCATCGGCCCTTTGGGCATTGCCCGGTACGCCCGATGGCCAGTCCAGCCCTGTGCGCTGGCATCCTTGAGCTTGGACTACAAATTAAGTGATGCACAGTAGAGGAGGGCTGGGCCGAAGTGTTTTTTTAGACGCCCATGCCCTTATATAGCAGTCTCGCTGCAAATACTGTGACGTAATAATTCCAAACACGTAATAGAGAATGGCAAAATCAGAACGGGTTGAAAAATCTTACCTAAACAGAATATGAAGTGTTCTCTGCAACCCATGAAGAGACTGATTTCAACTTTTTTGCACTTCTAGAGGCTCCAACTACACAAAATAAGGCATTTAAGGCACAAAAAGTGGATTTTTCATGATATGTCCCCTTTAACCAAAAGGACTGTGGTGATGATCCTGGACACTCATCATTCAACAACTCCCTATGGACCAATACCTGTAATAACTGTTTGATTTTCTGATCTGTGTTGGCGATTTCAGTGGTTTTGTTAAGTCCTCTCAGATACAGTATCTACTAGGGCTATACAAGAATACATTGAATTTCATTGAATTGGTTTATCTGTGGTTTCTCTCTGATGTTTCTCTGGTCGCTATCTAGTCTTTCTGGTCTCTCTCTAGTCTCTATATTTTTTGTTAAAAAAAAAAATTTTTTAATCTTTATTTATATACCGCCTTTTTACTGCACATCGGAGTCTCAAAGCGGTTTACAATTGTTATTTTTTTGGGAGTGGGGGTGCCAATACAGGAGGCACATGCCAGACCTATTGTACATATTTTTAGTGGTAGGGGAAACCGGAGCACCCGGAGGAAACCTACGCAGACACGGAGATAACATGCAAACTCCACTCAGAAAGGCCCTGGTCCAACTGGGATTCGAACCCAGGACCTTCTTGCTGAGAGGCGAGAGTGCTATCCACTCAGCCACCGTGCCGCCCAATCTGGTCTCTATCTGTCTCTATCTGGTCTTTGTTCCATGTCTGGTTTCTCTCTGGTCTCTCTCCAGAGGTGGGACTGAAGAGACTCACAAAAGATAGAAAAAAAACATATTGTTAAAAGTCCTGTACAACATTTCCAACACTATGGTGATGTCCCAGTTGGCCAGTCCTCTCCTGATACGCTCTGTGATATACACGTGTATAACTCACGTGTGCGTCCGTCCGTGGAGGCGCTGGTCTCGTACTCGCCGCTGCGCGTGCTGACCAGGACGGTGTACAGGCGCCCCGGCTCCAGTGCTTTGAACGCACACTCGCGCTGCGTCTTGGGCACCGACATGTTGTGCACGAATCGCGCATGGTGCTGCAGCGACACCTGGTACGAGTCCAGGTCCCCGCGGGCGTCGCCCCAGTACACCTTCAGGTAACCATCCCGAGCCGCGTGGGTCGCAGTGAGCAGCTGCACCGGGGACGGCTCTGAACCAGAGGAAAGAGACATTACATTACACCTGTGTTCCTAACATTACACCTGTGTTCCTCATGTGTTCCTCACATTACACCTGTGTTCCTCACATTACACCTGTGTTCCTCACATTACACATGTGTTCCTAACATTACACCTGTGTTTCCTCACATTACACCTGTGTTCCTCACATTACACCTGTGTTTCCTCACATTACACCTGTGTTCCTCACATTACACCTGTGTTCCTCACATTACACCTGTGTTTCCTCACATTACACCTGTGTTCCTCACATTACACCTGTGTTCCTAACATTACACCTGTGTTTCCTCACATTACACCTGTGTTTCCTCACATTACACCTGTGTTCCTAACATTACACCTGTGTTTCCTCACATTACACCTGTGTTCCTCACATTACACCTGTGTTCCTAACATTACACCTGTGTTCCTCACATTACACCTGTGTTCCTCACATTACACCTGTGTTCCTCACATTACACCTGTGTTCCTCACATTACACCTGTGTTCCTCACATTACACCTGTGTTCCTCACATTACACATGTGTTCCTAACATTACACCTGTGTTTCCTCACATTACACCTGTGTTCCTCACATTACACCTGTGTTCCCTCACATTACACCTGTGTTCCTCACATTACACCAGTGTTCCTCACATTACACCTGTGTTCCTCACATTACACCTGTGTTCCCTCACATTACACCTGTGTTCCTCACATTACACCTGTGTTCCCTCACATTACACCAGTGTTCCTCACATTACACCTGTGTTCCCTCACATTACACCTGTGTTCCTCACATTACACCTGTGTTCCTCACATTACACCTGTGTTCCTCACATTACACCTGTGTTCCCTCACATTACACCTGTGTTCCTCACATTACACCTGTGTTCCTAACATTACACCTGTGTTTCCTCACATTACACCTGTGTTCCTCACATTACACCTGTGTTCCTCACATTACACCTGTGTTCCTCACATTACACCTGTGTTCCTCACATTACACCTGTGTTCCTCACATTACACCTGTGTTCCTCACATTACACCTGTGTTCCTCACATTACACCTGTGTTCCTCACATTACACCTGTGTTCCCTCACATTACACCTGTGTTCCTCACATTACACCTGTGTCATGTGACTCACGTGTTCGGCCCTGGACGCTGCTGCTGTTCTCGAAGGCCCCGCTGCGGCTGCTGATGGTGATCTCGTACAGACGTCCGGGGACCAAAGACTTGAAGACACACTCGGGACTGGACCGGGACACCACCAGCGTGTGGATCTTGGTCTTCTGGTCCCGCAGCGTCACCAGGTAACTGTCCACGTCCCCCACCGGGGGGCGCCACGACACGCTCAGGAAGTCCATGCGGCCGTTGTTGCTGACCGAGACGTCGCGCACCGCGGCCGGCACTGGGCACAGGGGAGAAGGCTGGTGGTTACAGAGACATGCCTCTACAGGGGACGTAACTTCATAACCACAACTATGACTGGTTCTTTAACAGCTTACTGCATTAGGGGTGGACTAAACAAGTGTGACATCACAACAGTTTGATGTGGAAGAAGTCGATCTGAACGTAAGCTAGCTGCAGCCTGCTGAGTTAGCTTAAATCCTCCATTTCCTTGTTCTTGTTCTTGTTCAAGCCAGACACGTGTGGACGCAGAGACCGTGGTGTGTTCATGTGCTTCCCGTACATTCCAGATACATCCTGTTTGTCTGAAGTCACAATGATGTTTACGAGCACTTATATAACCCACAGCAAGAGTTTTCCAAGAATGAGACGAGAAACAAGAGAAACCGCAGCCTCAGTCCTGGATCTACAGCCTCAGTCCTGGGTCCACAGCCTCAGTCCTGGATCTACAGCCTCAGTCCTGGGTCCACAGCCTCAGTCTTGGATCTACAGCCTCAGTCCTGGATCTACAACCTCAGTCTTGGATCTACAGCCTCAGTCTTGGATCTACAGCCTCAGTCCTGGGTCCACAGCCTCAGTCTTGGGTCTACAGCCTCAGTCCTGGGTCCACAGCCTCAGTCCTGGGTCTACAGCCTCAGTTCTGGGTCCACAGCCTCAGTCTTGGGTCTACAGCCTCAGTCCTGGGTCCACAGCCTCAGTCCTGGGTTTACAGTCTCTTTGACCAATAATGAGTTTTCTGTCTTGGCTTTAACAACAATTAGTGCGGACTTGAATAGACCATCATCGCTCCTGACGAGTGGGGAACAATTTGCGGACGTGACTTGATATCAGGAGTTTTCAACTGAGGGGCCGGGGTCCGGGTTCAGATCCACAGAGCCTTCTCCTAGGACCTCTCTGTATTTTTGTTCAAAAGCGCATTATCAAAAGTACTTGCACATGGCAACACTCAAAGTGACAGATCCCAGAGAGTGAAAATCAAGGACTGTTTTTCAGTCATTGATTTTGGATTTCCTCAGGGATGTAGTTTGAGTCCTGAACACTTTACATCGTACACTCATGATTATGTATCTTCCTCTGACTCACACTTCATCATCAAATACACTGATGACACCACCGTAATAGTTCCCACATGACTTTATTATTGACAACTCCCAAGTGCAGATTGTAGAAGAGTCAAAGTCTCTGGGTTTAATTCTTTCCGATAACCTGAAAATGGGTCAAAAACACTTATCAAGTTGTAAAGAATGCTCGTCAGCGTGTCTTCAATGAAACCATTGAAAGTTTGCTTGTTGGTTCTGTGTGATTAGGCAACATCACAGCCGAAGACAGAAGAGCTCTAAACAAGGTGCAAAGAGGACTATGCGCTCCCTCTGCTGGAAGTTCTCTTTTAGATCCAACAGTTAAAATAATAAATGACTCTTCTGACCCCTGGAAAAGCCCGGAAAATGGCTTTTCCAGGGGTCAGAAGAGAGAAGAGAGGCTGAGATGCAGGACATCTTGTTTTGAGAACAGCTTGTTTTGCTAACAGCAGTTGTCAGTTTGAACAAAGCACTTTAAAGCTGCATTACCTCACTTTATGTTTGTAATCATCACAAAAATTCAATCCATATCCGTGCAATGCTTTGGGATATACGTCCTTTTGAATAAAAAGTAGCGCAGATTTTTGCAGGCGTGTCATTTTATTTGTTTCGGGACCAGATTGTGACCAATCACAGCGGACCACTGGCCCCCACTTTTTTGAGAAAAGCTACAGGTCTCTCGTTAGCACAGACAGCAGAGGTAAACAAGCGGCGGAGGCTAACCTGAAACTTCCCGTGTCTTCGTTACCGGTTACTGCTTACTCAGCAAAACAGCCAAAAGAAAGTCTTGTTTCTCTGCGCTTCCCGGTTCTATCATTCTATGGTTACGCCATCCACGTGCAAATGTGTCCATATTGTGAGACGTGAGCTCCGTAAACATGAGCACAGGCCATAGACTGTATATATTAACGGACAGAGTCACGCCTATCTCCACCGTTCTAACTAATGGGCCAAAAAATGTGCTCTAAAATGGCCGCGAGTGGTCCCGCTAACAAGAAAATTGTGAAAAAACGCATCTGCTCATGCGTCAGCCGGCGCAGCTCCATTCATTTGAACGAGAGACTTCAAATATTCACAGCAAGTAAACTAGAGTGGACCAAAAAAATCCACCAGTCGGGGGGGTGGGATTGCTCCGTGAGTGCGGGGAGGGCGAGCAGAAGAGCAAGGCCAGCGCTCACATTCGAAAATTTCAAAGTGAGTTAGTGCAGCTTTAAAGATCTTGCTCTTGTTATTTGAACTGTTTTTGTTGATTGATTTTTGAGGAGACAATTGTTTCTTGTACTTTTTAGTATGTTTTATTTACTCATCTGGTGCACACTGGAGACTTTTGCGCATCTATTCCAATGTGGTTTTGCTGCAAATAATAATCAAACTGTACCTAAATCTGTGTATGTTAATATTTACCGGTCCGGCCCTCCTCCACTCTATGCCTCTCCTCTCCCCCTCTCACACCCCTGTTCTCGCATGTGTGTGGGGACGTACTCACCGGTCCGGCCCTCTCCCACTCTCTGTCTCCCCTCTCTCCCCCTCCTCACGGCCGTCACCACTGTCCTGTACTCTGTCCCAGGGCTCAGCGAGGTGAAGGTCAGGCTCCTGCTGTCTGGACCCACGCTCTGGTTCTTGATGATGACGCTGTCCCGGACCAGTAGAACCTGGTACCAGTCCAGACCCCCCACTGCGGCCTCCCACTGGGCCTGCAGGGAGTCAGTGCTGCCCCCGCTGGAGAGGGAGAGGGACGACACCTGAGCTGGAGCTGTGGACAGGAGAGGGTCATCAGGGTCTAAAGCAGGGGTGTCCAAACTTCTCATTCACTTTAGTCACTTTAGTTCACCTGTCTAGAAACATTAGCGCCATATATGGATATTTTGGGATACAGTCAAAAACCATAGTCAGTATATACACATAAAGTGTATCCAGCAGGATTTTGGAGGTTCTAAGCTGAAGTTGGCTGTATGATCCCGATATCTCATAGACTACTTTCCCTTGCGATTACTTTGATCTAATCTGAGTTTGGAGATTATATCTGAACAAAACTAGTTTGGGTACTGTGTTTTCTTGTTTTCACTCTTAAGAGCGAGAACAGAGAGAGATCAGAGAGACCAGAAAGAGACCGAAGAGAGACCAGAGAGAGACCAGAGAGAGACCAGAGAGAGACCGGAGAGAGACCAGAGAGGGACCACTCTGTAAGTCCACTTCTCTCATTAAGTCCATGGTTCTGACCTGTCCTCGCGGTGACGTTAGAAGAGCAGCTCTGGTTCCCCCTGATGGTCCGCACAGACACACTGTAGTCCTGCCCTGGGGTCAGAGAGCTGAAGGTCACCGAGGAGGAGTCCGCAGAGAGGCTCTTCTCCGACACCAGCGACTCACCCTGGAGGACACCACACCATCAGAGACTCCGGGCTGGAACTGAGGACTGGACTGGGACTAAGAAAGCCGGAGAAAGCCTCGGATACAATAGAGGGACCATATGTACCTTTATTTGAATGTTGTTGGTCTGATAGATCATTAAAGCCTGTTCACCACTACTCTGCAGATAACTCCATCTGAGTCAGTCAGTCTCACTCTGGTCTCTCTGTGGTCTCTCTTTGGTTTCTCTTTGGTTTCTCTCTTTGGTTTCTCCCTCTGGTCTCTCTCTGGTCTTCTCTCTGGTCTTCTCTCTGGTCTTCTCTCTGGTCTCTCTTTGGTCTCTCTTTGGTCTCTCTCTGGTCTCTCTTTGGTTTCTCTCTCTGGTCTTCTCTCTGGTCTCTCTTTGGTCTCTCTTTGGTCTCTCTCTGGTCTCTCTCTGGTCTCTCTCTGGTCTCTCTCTGGTCTCTCTCTGGTCTCTCTCTGGTCTCTCTCTGGTCTCCTCTTTGGTCTCCTCTCTGGTCTCTCGTTGGTCTCTCTGGCTTCTCTTTTGTCTCTCTGGTCTCTCTTTGGTCTCTCTCTGGTCTCTATTTGGACTCTCTCTGGTCTCTCTTTGGTGGAGTTTTTCTCTTTCTTTGAATTTATGTAACAGTTTGTAGATTGTTTTACTAATACACTAATCATATGACATTATATGATATACAACAAAAACACAATACAGTGGTAACAAAAAAACAACAACAAATGTGTACAACTACATTTAAAATCACACATTTCCCCCGAACTACCACCCCCACATTCTCTCTCAACATCCAGAGAGAGACTGTTTCTGGTCTCTCTCTGGTCTCTCTCTGGTCTCTCTCTGGTCTCTCTCTGGTCTCTCTCTGGTCTCTCTCTGGTCTCTCTCTGGTCTCTCTCTGGTCTCTCTCTGGTCTCGCGGCACGGTGGCTGAGTGGATAGCACTCTCGCCTCTCAGCAAGAAGGTCCTGGGTTCGAATCCCGGCCGGACCAGGGCCTTTCTGAGTGGAGTTTGCATGTTCTCCCTGTGTCTGCGTAGGTTTCCTCCGGGTACCACTTCCTTCCTTCCCCTACCACTAAAAATATGTACAATAGGTCTGGCATGCGCCTCCTGTTCGGCGACCCCGCTCCCATCTCTGTGTGGAGTGAGAGGACAAGTGCCCAAAAAGAACAATTGTAAACCGCTTTGTGACTCTGGTCTGTGAAGGGCGGTATATAAATAAAGATTACTTACTCTCGCTGGTCTCTCTCTGGTACTTTTTCTGAGTTAATTTACCTGTGACAGACGAGCGGTGAGCAGGTCCCAGTCTCCATCAGGAGGGCTCCAGGAGACACTCACAGACCTCTCGTTGCTGTGCCCCACCGAGAGCAGCTTAACCGGGGCAGGAGCTGCAGAACGAGACGGAGGGAGTCAGCCGAGGACCAGCACCACACCACACACGAGAGAAACACTGCAACAGCTGCAGCACCAAACGTTAAATCCAAAACAATCAACTATGTCATAAAACCCATGTCTTTAGTTCCTGGCTCTAAAACAGTTTTCTTCTTTAGAAAATTGACAGAGAGGACCACCCTTACTCAGCCCGAAGAGAAACATGTTTTCTAATAGGATGAAGAAAGGACTACATCAAAACAAAAGCAGTTCTAAAGCAGGACTTGAGGGCCCCAATACCGACCACATAACCACATAATAAGGTTTATATTACAGTAGGTATAAATATATATTTAATAAAAAGGTAAAATGCGAAATCTATTTCTTGTTTAAATCAATATAAATTAATCTTGGGTCATATGGGCGCAAGTGCTGCAACTTGCAGGTTGCAGCACTTTAGCACTTGCGCCCTGCCGGTTTGGGGGGCCCCAGGCAGCCGCCTGTCTTGCCTGATGGCAAGGGACGCCTCTGCCAGCTTCTACACAGCCTCTAACCCTGTTCTAACTTAAATAGTGTTCAGGGTAGAGTGTGGTTGTTTAACTCATCTGTTTTCCAGATTTTCAAGACACTGTTGCTTCCGCTCATTGTTCTGTTGTTTTCCAAGAAAAGGAAACGTTATAAACTCTGACCTGAAGGAGATGCTCCCAACCGGAAAACAGGGAGTTAACCCATCATGCACGAACAAACACAGAGCTTTGAGACCATAGCGTACCGAGTGTGACATCACAATAGTGTATGTGGAAGAAGCCGATTTGAACATAAGCTAGCTGGAGCCACTTTCCTTATATGGGCGTTTGTTACAACAGCATTAGCTTCTTGACGTAACAGTAAGATGTTGCTAAGACGGTTGTTAAGGCAAGCTGTGGCTTCAGTCAATACTATCAGAGAACTGAGACAGGAGCTTTTAGACAGAAGGGGCGGAGCTATATGTTTGTGTAAGAAGATCCTGATATTAGCATGGATGGATCTAAACACCACTCCAGGTCTGTTTGGCATCTCTGCCCCACGCTAGCGCCCCCTGTAGGTGACTCACCGGTCTGCCCTCGAGTCCGGGTCTCGTTGCTCTGGTCTCCGACTCGCGTCCGGACTCCCAGCTCGTAAACTCGTCCTGGGACCAGACCGTCAAACTGTGTACGAGTGACATCATCAGGGGGGAGGAGCTTGTGTCGAGACTCCACCCCGGGCGCCGACAACACAAGTTCGTAACCCTCTACTCCCCCTGGTGGTGGAAGCCAGGAGGCCTCCAGAGAGACCGAACTGCCGAGCGAGTCCAGGCTGAGGAGGAGGACCGCAGCCGGAACTGGAACAGAGATGTGTGCGAATGAGACCAGAGAGACCAGAAAGACCACAGCAAGACCAGAGAGGGAGACCAGAGATAGACCAGAAATAGATCAGAGACCAGAGAGAGAGACCAGAGCTAGACCAGAAATAGATCAGAGACCAGAGAGCGAGACCAGAGAGAGGGACCAGAGAGAGAAAGAGAAAAGCACCCAAACACAGGCAGAACATGCAAACTCCACACAGTTACCTGTAGTTGTCTGTGCACTGACTGCTGCTCTCCTCGCTCCTCTCTCTGTCGTCACCGTCACGTTGTAGCGTGTCCCGGGCTGAAGACCACTCACTTCAGCACTGGACTCTCGGCTGGACACACGCACGCTTCGGTCGGCCCTCTTCTCCTCTGAAACCGTCACCAAAACATAGTCTGCTCGACCGGGACCCGGGATCCAGGAGACTGAGAGGCTGCGGGACGATGGGACCAGATTCAGGTCTGAGACAGGAGCTGGAGCTGGAGAAAACAGAGACAGTCTCAGTCCTGGATTTACAGTCTTAGTCCTGGATCTACAGTCTCAGTCCTGGATCTACAGCCTCAGTCCTGGATCTACAGACTCAGTCCTGGATCTACAGCCTCAGTCCTGGATCTACAGCCTTAGTCCTGGATCTACAGCCTCAGTCCTGGATCTACAGCCTCAGTCCTGGATCTACAGCCTCAGTCCTGGATCTACAGCCTCAGTCCTGGATCCTTTACCCTGTATCTTCACTCACCTGTCTGCAGTTGTCCTCTGCTCTTCTCTTTATCTTTATGTGACATCACAGTCACATTGTACCAAGTCCCTGGCTCCAGTCCTGTGAGGAGGCAGTGGTATGAGGCTCCTGACGTTCCCTCGGATGGCGCTTCAGACTCCCGAGGCTGAGGGAGAGGTCTTGGCTGCAGCTCACACCAGTATTCTCCACTCTGCTCTTCTGATTGGCTCTTCTGGCTCTGCTCTTCCTCTGATTGGCTGTCTCCTCTTACAAACACGGTGAAGTCACACTCACTGGACCAGGACTGGACCAGAACCAGGGCCAACTCAGGCTCAGTGAAGACCACAGAGATGTTTGAGGTGCAGAGAGAAGCTTTAGGAGACAGGAGCTGGAAACACAACATGAGAAACTGTTTGAACAAACTTCTACCAGTGATTTACTGACAGAAAAGACCACAACCCCATCCAGTCTGTGGTCCTTTGGGTCCTTCCACAGAGGGGGAGATGGAAACAGGACTCAGTTGTGACCCCAAGCTCTGATACAACTTGCGGCCCCAAGTTGTATCACTGCAGACGCTGCACTGCGAGAGAACCAGGACCAGAACCTGGACCAACACCTGTGCTTCTCTGCTTGTGTGTCCCTGTGTGTGTTCAAACCCTGTGCTCCTCTGGTTGTGTGTCCTTGTGTGTGTTCAAACCCTGTGCTCCTCCGGTTGTGTGTCCCTGTGTTTGTTCAAACCCTGTGCTCCTCCGGTTGTGTGTCCCTGTGTGTTGTTTTTTGGCAGTCCTGCAGTTGAGTTCTTCCTTTGTTTTGCATTTACGACAGAGGTTCTTGAGTGGTCTCAGAGGAGAGACCGAGACCAAGTCCAGGGCTGGACCACTCCCAGACTCTTCCTTCCTCTTCACAAAACCACTGAGAGAGGTAATTATATTAACGTCTGTGTTAATGTGTGCCTTAAAGCTCGGGTAGGTAACTTTAGTCTCATAAACCACAGAAAGAGTCTCAAAGTAAAATGTTGTGAAATCAGACCACGACATGCGGTCTTTGCTTTTGAGTAAGAAAGAGATCTAACGGTCACTATTCGACTCTTGGCCTGATCCTGGTCCTGGTCCTGGTCCTGGTCTTGGTCTTTGTCTTAGTTCTCGTCCTGTTTTGGGTCTTGGTCTTGGTTCTGGTCCTGGTTTGGGTCTTGGTCTAGGTCTAGGTCTTGGTCTTGTTCTTGGTCTTGGGCATAGTTCTTGTCCTGGTTTGGGTCTTGGTCTAGGTCTAGGTCTTGGTCTTGTTCTTGGTCTTGGGCATAGTTCTTGTCCTGGTTTGGGTCTTGGTCTTGGTCTTGGTCTTGGTCTTGGTCTTGGTCTTGGTCTTGGTCTTGGTTCTCGTCCTGTTTTGGGTCTTGGTCTTGGTTCTGGTCCTGGTTTGGGTCTTGGTCTAGGTCTAAGTCTAGGTCTTGGTCTTGTTCTTGGTCTTGAGCATAGTTCTTGTCCTGGTTTGGTTCTTGGTCTAGGTTCTGGCCTTGCTCTTGGTTTGGGTCTTAGTCTTGGTCTTGGTCTTGGTCCTGGTCCTGGTCTTGGTCCTAGTCTTGGTCTTGTTCTTAGTTCTGGTCCTGTTTTGTGTCTTGATCTCGGTTCTGGTCCTGGTTTGGGTCTAGGTCTTGGTCTAGGTCTAGGTCTAGGTCTAGGTCTAGGTCTAGGTCTGGGTCTGGGTCTGGGTCTGGGTCTGGGTCTGGGTCTGGGTCTGGGTCTGGGTCTGGGTCTGGGTCTGGGTCTGGGTCTGGGTCTAGGTCTTGGTCTTGGTCTTGGTCTTGGTCTTGGTCTTGGTCTTGGTCTTGGTCTTGGTCTTGGTCTTGGTCTTGGGCATAGTTCTTGTCCTGGTTTGGTTCTTGGTCTAGGTCTTGGTCTAGGTCCTGGCCCTGCTCTTGGTTTGGGTCTTGGTCTTGGTCCTGCTCCTGGTTTTGGTGTGGGCCTGGTCTTGGTCTGGCCTAGTTTCCATGTGGTAAGTAAGTAATCTTTATTTATATAGCGCCTTTCACAGACCAGAGACACAAAGCGCTTTACAATGGATGTGGGCATTAGTCCCTCACGCCACACAGAGATGGGAGCGATGACTCATACTCACAGGGGGCGCTGTTGTTGTGGCTCCAGCTGTCGTCGCCGCCATCTTTGTAGTTTTCATGGATGTTGTAGCCTCAGTCCCAGCCTTGGTGCTCATAAATCCAGCTGTAGTTTTGGCCTTTTCTGTTGTAAAAGGCAAAAACGTTGAGGACTTTAACGTTGTCACGAACGTAGACGATGATACAGACGTTGTAAAAGTCGGCGCGGTGGACGGACTTGGAACTGCAGCCGGTTTGTTCGTGACTGTTGCCGTTGGAAACGCTGTGGTTTCGATCGTGGATGATTTTTGAGGGACCATTGAGCTGGTCGCACTGTTAGTGAGCCTTGTTCCGGACGTGGACTGTTGTGTGGACATCTCCTGTGTTTGCGAACTATCGCGTAAGCTAGTTTTGGTTGAAGATTTAGAAATGTCTGTAGCAGTTGTTGCCAAATCCTCATTTATTTCAGTAAACACAGAGCTGTACTGAGCGACACCAGCTTCACTCGTGGTTTTGTCTTTGAAAGTCCACGATTGTTCTGTCTCGAGGTCCGGCGTTGAAGCGGGAAACGTCGCCGTGTTAGCATCTTCTGACGCTTCAAAGTCGTGTTCAGCGGTTCGCTCGTACAAGAAAGTTGCAATCTCTGTGCTGTTTCCAATCTCAGTCGAAGAATGCGTTTGAATATTGTCAGCGAGAGTCGAGCTGGCAACGACCTCAGCGAGAGTCTGTTGAGAAGTGTAAAAATCGGTTGTGTTTTCTGTTGTAAATGTGGACAGAACTGTGGAAGAATCTCTCGGAACTTGCGTATTTTTGGCTGAATCCGTTGCAGGCGAAGAGTAGTTCAAAGTGGAAGTCGTATCCGAGTTGGTTTGACTTTCAAGGGTTTCTGATTGGTCTGTTTGCCATTCAAAGCTTCCTGATTGGTCTGTTTTCCGTTGAGAGCGTTCTGATTGGAGTGTTTGCTGTTCAAAGCTAATCGTCGGGTCTGTTTGCCATTGAGAGCTCTCTGATTGGTCTGTTTGCTGTTCAAAGCTTGCCGATTGGTGTGTTTGCCATTCAAAGCTTCCTGATTGGTCTGTTTTCAGCGGAGAGCTTTCTGATTGGTCTGTTTTCCATTCGAAGCTTGCTGATTGGTAGGTTTGCCCTTCAGAGCTCGCTGATTGGTCTGTTATGGTAAAATGTTCTGTGAAAGGAGGAGATGTTTGGGCGATCGGTGGCGTGGTATCTGTAAGATGGCCGCCGTGTGTGGGAGCCGGTGTCTCTGCGGCGACCTCCTCTGTCGTCTCTAGTGACGTCTGGTTGGAAAGTCGGTTGGAATCTGTTGAAGTGAAGTCTTCGGGGGATGAAGTGGAGCTGCAGTCTGGAAGAAGTGGAGAACACGTGAGAAAATGTCCAAGAACGCGGTTTCGTGGCCATTTTGTTAAAGCTCGGATTCGTAACTTTCAAACCACAACAACAAAACTGTAATCAAATCCATGTCACTTGTTCCTGGCTCTAAAACGGCTTGTTCTATCACTGTTTTTCATGTATGTTTGGACCAGAGGAAGACCAGAGAGAGTCTAGAGAGAGATGCCAGAGGGAGACCAGATAGAGAGACTAGAGAGAGAACAGAGAGAGACCAGAGAGAGAGGCCAGAGGGAGACCACAGAGAGAGACTAGAGAGAGAACAGAGAGGGACAAAAGAGAGAGGCCAGAGAGAGACCAGAGAGAGACCAGAGAGAGACCAGAGAGAGACCAGAGAGAGACCACAGAGATAGACTAGAGAGAGACCAGAGAGAGAGGCCAGAGGGAGATCAGAGAGAGAGACTAGAGAGACACCAGAGAGAGAGGCCAGAGGGAGATCAGAGAGAGAGACTAGATCGAGACCAGAGAGAGACCAGAGAGAGAGGCTAGAGGGAGACCAGAAATAGAGGCCGGAAGGATACCAGAGAAAGAGACCAGAGAGAGACCAGAGAGAGAGACCAGAGAGAGACCAGAGAGACTAGATAGAGGCCAGAGAGATACCAGAGAAAGAGATCAGAGAGAGCCCACAGAGAGACCAGAAACAGACCAGAGGGAGACCAAGGAGAGAGACTAGAAAGAGACCTAAAAGAGAAAAAAAAAAAAGATCATAGAGAGAGATCAGAGAAACACCAGGACCAAGACAAGGACTAGAGAGAGAGAGATCAGAGAGAAATCTAAGAATCATTTAGTGACTCACAGGGCTCTTTCTTACACAAAACGATAATAACAATTCTAATGAGATGAAGACATCATGTTGTGTGTGAATTGCTCTTTAAAAAATAAGAACATTTTTGAATCATTATGAATTGTGTCTGAATTGTTCACAACATTTACTCAACTCTTTCCGTTGAACAAACTGCATGTGTTATTTATGAGACTAAAGTTATGTACCTGAGCTTTAAGACCACAGACCCCGATCAGTTAAATATTTGAGGGGAGCAAAGATAAAAACAACATGGGGCAAAGACTTAAACAACTAAAGTAACAGAAAATCCAGTCCAGGTCTTGACCCAGGTTCAGTCCCAGGTCTTGAGTCCAAACAGGAAGTACACCTCTTGCGTTCTTCCTGTTTCTGGGATGATATCGTTCAGTTTTCCTCAAGGACAGAAGCAGCACTGTACAAACGTGTCATTGGGTGAGATAGAGCCCGAGTGTGAGGGAGGTCCTCTCTTTGTTACTGTCTGAAAAACTGTCTGAAAAAGCTAATCAGAAAAAACAGGTCTAAAACAGGTCTAAAACACGTCTAGGGCAAGTCCAAAGCAGGCCTAAAACAGGTCTGAAACACGTCTAAAACAGGTCTAACATGGGACTGACCATTGCTATAAGGGAAGAATGAATGGGATTTGAAATGGACAAATCTTCACTCACAACTTTATTATCTTACACTTTAAAACATAACGTTAATTTACTTTTTGTTCATTTTCCACGTTTGTGTAAAACAAGGATATCGGACTCATATTATTCATAAATAATAGTAAAAGAATTCACTCACAGACAGACGACAAGCTCAGCAGCAGAAGCAGGGAGATCCAGAAAAAGGCCATGATAGGACAGGATCAGGACCGGACCAGGACAGAACCAGGACTGGACCAGGACTGGACCAAGACAGATCCAAGACTGGACCAGGAGCGAAGCCAAACCAAGGCTGGAGCAGGACTAATAAAAAGTCCTTGTGTTTTGACTTTGGTAAATCTAACGTAGGTCTAAAGCCAGTTGAAAGCTAGTCTACAACAGTACTGAAGCAGGTCCAAAGTAGGACTAAACCGGGTCTAAAATAGGTCTAAAGCAGGTCTAAAGCAGGTCTGAAACAGGTCTGAAGCAGGTCTAAAGTAGGTCTGAATCCGGTCCACCTCGGTCCGTGCCTGAAGTGTGAGGATGTCCTTGTGCACAGATTCTCAGGAAGCGGACTCTCTCCTGTTTCCTGCTCCATTGTTCCTGGTTCAGTCCAGGTCTGAACCAGGAACCATGGGAAATACCAGAGGGTCCAGATGGTCCTCACTCTCAGAGACACACACACATGTCCAGAAGGCATTTAAAACTGGAGTACCCACACTGTAATATTTCTGTAGATTCTGTGTGTGAGGTTGCAAGGCGGGTTGGAGGCCGAGTCGTTCAGACACACCAGTCTGTGTCCTCAGAAATGTGAGGAAGAGGAGACCTGGGTTTTAGTCAGAAGGAATGAGGCAAAAGTATACACTACAGCATGTTGGTCTAAATGAGTGAAAAGGCAGGTCTGAACCAGGACTAAAGCAGGTCTGAAGCAGGACTAAAGCAGGACTAAAGCAGGTCTGAAGCAGGACTAAAGCAGGACTAAAGCAGGTCAGAAGCAGGACTGAAGCAGGACTAAAGCAGGTCTGAAGCAGGACTAAAGCAGGTCTAAAGCAGGTCTGATGCAGGACTAAAGCAGGACTAAAGTAGGTCAGAAGCAGGACTGAAGCAGGACTTAAGCAGGACTAAAGCAGGTCTGAAGCAGGACTAAAGCAGGACTAAAGCAGGTCTAAAGCAGGACTAAAGCAGGACTAAAGCAGGACTAAAGCAGGACTAAAGCAGGTCTGATGCAGGACTAAAGCAGGACTAAAGCAGGGCTAAAGTAGGTATGAAGCAGGACTAAAGCAGGTCTGAAGCAGGACTGATGCAGGACTAAAGCAGGACTAAAGCAGTTCTGATGCAGGACTAAAGCAGGTCTGATGCAGGACTAAAGCAGGACTAAAGCAGGGCTAAAGCAGGTCTGAAGCAGGACTAAAGCAGGTCTGATGCAGGACTAAAGCAGGGCTAAAGCAGGTCTGATGCAGGACTTAAGCAGGACTAAAGCAGGACTAAAGCAGGTCTGAAGCAGGACTAAAGCAGGTCTGATGCAGGACTTAAGCAGGACTAAAGCAGGTCTGATGCAGGACTAAAGCAGGACTAAAGCAGGTCTGAAGCAGGACTAAAGCAGGTCTGATGCAGGACTTAAGCAGGACTAAAGCAGGGCTAAAGCAGGTCTGAAGCAGGACTAAAGCAGGTCTGATGCAGGACTAAAGCAGGGCTAAAGCAGGTCTGAAGCAGGACTAAAGCAGGTCTGATGCAGGACTAAAGCAGGACTAAAGCAGGTCTGATGCAGGACTAAAGCAGGGCTAAAGCAGGTCTAATGCAGGACTAAAGCAGGTCTCCCTCTGTGCTTGTGTCATTCTCTGCCAACAACAGCACAGTCTATATCATGATCGTGCTTTCTTCCCCTGTAACTGCCCTGATCTCCTCAACAGCGCCCCCTGGTGCCTGCGCTGCACTGTCCTCTTCAGTTTGTTTTGGACTCTGGACCGTTAATATAATAGATCCATGCTCTGGACCCGGATCTTCACATCCTGCTCACAGGCGCAGTTTCCTCTCCACCAATCAGAGCGTGACATGGTGTTAACGAGGGGTCAGAGGTGAAGGACACTGACCACACCAAGATGGCCGCCGCGTGTGTGTTGAAGAGGAAGGGTGGTCCTCTGATTTCACTGCTCTGTCTGATAACACTGAAGATGTGACAGAGGGCAAGGATCCTTCATGCTCTGGAACTGTGGGGCCAAAAACCAAACAGGACTATCTACTATATTGTTCATACCTGGTCCAGGACTGAAGTTAAACTAAAAAAGGTCTACAGCTGGTCTAAAGCAATCCTGGTTCAGACTTGGTTCAGACCTGGTTCAGACTGGGGCTCGTGTGTAATCATTGGCTTTAATCCAGCCCTGACTCATGTCTCAGAAAAGTGTATTTGTTTTATGTTAATGACAGATTTGAACAAGAAAAACCAGGTCTGCTCTCTTTGTGGAGTTCAGTTCTGGGCTGTTTTCACCCAGACCCAGACCTACAGGACCCAGACCTGGACTCAGACCTTGACTTGGACTCCAGCTCTCAGATCTCAGACCTGGAACCTCAAACCTGGGACCGTCCTCTCAGTGAGTGAACTACTCTGTATGAGGTTGCATGTGAATCTTCTTTCATACTGAACATTTGTTGCATTTTAAATTTAAGGTCTGTAGAACCAGGACTGAGGCTGTAGAACCAGGACTGAGGCTGTAGAACCAGGACTGAGGCTGTAGAACCAGGACTGACTGTAGAACAATAGCCTGACTCTCGCCAGACCCATGTAGTTTGCTGCACTTCACGCATAGCCAAACGCCTCTGGTGGAGCATGGCGAAACTACAAGGGTCTGGCAGAGCCAGGCTAGTAAGAACAAGGACTGAGGCTGTGAAGTTTTTCTCCTCTGGCTCCTATAGGAGGATCTTTGTTTACATCTGCATGCCCACTGACTGTGTTAGTGCTAATTAGCTTCTTCTACATTAAGGCTCACTGTGGTCATGTCCAAACCCTGGTGATCCAAGATGGCGCCCAATCCAAATCCATGGCTTGGGTTTGAGACCGAAAGATTAGCGGAACTTGCCCATATTTGGGCATCGTCTTGTCCTCCTGGGTCTGTGCAGTGGACGAGCTTCCATGATGCTTTACGCGTCTGTGGCCCTCATGCACAGGCACAAAGGGGCTCAACCGCTCTTTGACCAATCAGAGCTGCTGATCAGAGCGGCGGTAAAGTGAAGCCAGAGCGGGAAGGAAACAAGTTTGTGTCATGGTTTAAGTTTATTTCCTGTTTTATTTTGAAATGTGTTCTCCCTGTGTCTTCTTTGGTTGTACTTCCTGTTGTCTGACCTGCCCTGCCCTCATCTGTCTCACCTGTGTCTCGTTAGTCTTGTATTTAGCCCTGTGTGTTCCTTCACTCCCTGTTCTGTCATTGTCATTCCTCGTCTGTTTTAGTTCGATCCTCGTTCCCTGTATTTTTTGATTTGTTTCATCTTTTTATTAAATCCATTATTTTTTGCAGTTTTGCATTTTGGGTCTCATTTAATCTCACCACTTGACAGTTTGTGGCAGTAAAGTGTGGATTTAAAGAAAACTGAAGGATTTAAAGTTGATTTAAAGTTCTGGATGACAAGAGACTAAAATCCCCATAAAACCCACCTTTGTGTAAGCTGTAGGTTCTGTCAGCTGAGGTCCAGCTGTTTTAGTTTACATTGAGCTCGTTGAGATATTTTTCTGGGTAGACAATGTGAGTACCACGCAGTACAATGGGTGCCCCCTGTGCCCGTGGGTGGGACAGATCTAAGCTAGTAATACCCTATCCAGATATTATAATGGATCACACTTGGTCTGTCCATTCCTAATGTACAGTCTATGCTTCTCCCTCAGATCTACAGAGCCTCCTCCTGGTTAGTGGACAAGGATGAAGTGCATTCTGGAAGTTGTTGTCCTGTTCTCAGTCTCAGTGAGTTCATGTGTTTTAATTTTGACTCTGGTTTGTTTGCAACAGCTAACAGAGGGTGACACCCCCCCACACGGTGAGGGTCAGATTAAACCCGTTGCAAATGTAACTTGTGCTAACAGTATGTTTGAAATGAACCTAACATGGTGTTGTTTTCCGGTTGTGAGAGCACAGCTGGAGTTGAGCCACAGAGACGACGGTAAAGACAGGTCTTTATCCACAGCTTTGTTTCACACTGGCAGAAACACAGGTCTGTTTCTGCCAGTAGTACTTACAGATACAGATACTTGTCGTATTTTGTGGAGGAGAGAAGAGGAGACATGTGAGGGAGAGGAGGAGAGATGTGAGGAAAAGGTGAAAAGTGGGAGAGGAGAGAAGAGTACAATAAGTCACTTTAAATGATCACTGTGTGAAAACCTGACCTACTATTGACACTGTTTCCAATTGACACGTGTCACTTTTGTTGCACATAATTATTGTCACTTTATTGTACATATATCCTGCATTTAACATGTTTGCACATTTCCTTCTTTTGCACAATCTGAGTGTCTCTATCCATGCCAAATGTGACATGTAAATTTCTCCTATGTGAGATAAATAAAGAAAATCTTATCTTATGTGAGGGAGAGGAGGAGATGTGAGGAAAAGGTGGGAGAGGAGAAGAGAGGGAAAAAATGAATGGGGGGAGGGGAGAGAGAGGAGATGATAACATTTTGAACTTAGACTATAGTCTGACTTTTGGCAATTATCATAGTTACCATAGTTACCAGGACAGCATTCTCAGTGTGAAACTATTGCTCTCTGGAGCGTGTGATGCCACAAACATTTGAGAGTGTTCTGTGCAGAGGAGCAGGAGAGCAGCTGTGCGTCTGTGGCCGAAAGACAGTGATGGACTCGTCTACGTGCCCTTCACCTTCAGAAGTGAGTCTCTACCGTTACTCCAGGTCCAGGTCCAGTTCTAGGTCCAGGTCATGGTCATAGACAGTGTAACCTCAGCTCTGTGAAGCCTCCTATTGAAGGTCTCCTGATGAGGTTTAGCTCACTGAACATCAGCCAGAACAGTCACCATTATGATGTCTCCAAAAGCTTGCGATTATATACTCACTTCTTAATCATTCTAGAGTTAGAGATTTTAGTTTATTTTAGAGTTATTGCTCACTTCTCTTGTGCTGTGTGCGCCTCACTCCTACTGTTCTGTAACTGGTGATGTAACAACGTACGACAAAGGATCTTTTCATCTTAATCTTACTAACAGGGAAAGCGCGGAGTGTGCCACAGTCTTTCAAAAAACATGAACACCAGCACCAGGACACCAGCACCAGGACACCAGCACCAGGACACCAGCACCAGGACACCAGCACCAGGACACCAGCACCAGGACACCAGCACCAGGACACCAGCACCAGGACACCAGCACCAGGACACCAGCACCAGGACACCAGCACCAGGACACCAGCGCATGAACACCAGCGCATGAACACCAGTCCTAATACCAAGCTCCTGGTCCCAAAGAGGCGCCTGATGACCCTGTGTGTGTTGCAGCCTTCTCTCCGGAGCTGATGGGGCGGTTCTTCGCAGCCACAAAACAGCTCAGAGAATCCACCTGTATCCGCTTCAAAACCAGAGTGCTTTTCAACTTTGATTATGTGGAGATCATCGAGTCGGACAGGTGACCACACTGCCCCCTGCTGCTGCCCACAGGCTTAACAGCAGGACAGACACAACACACAATCATGTATTCATCCCTTTCACATGAACACAGTGACGTGTGAGTGGTGTTCCGAGGCCAGCTGAGGGTCGGAGTCTCACTATTAGCTACTTTTGGTCACATGATTGGTACAAGTTCATATCCATTAAAGTTATGCACTCTCTCTGTAACCAGAGGTCAGTCACAGAAGAAACTCTGCGGACTCTGAAATAGAAGTATAGATCCATCACCAACTAAGAACCCTCATGTGGACCGTCTGTGTCCTCCATTTGGTCCTTCCCCAAATCTCATGACCACAGGTGAAGGTGGGAAAGTGGACTGAGTGGTAAATGCAGAGCTCTGACTGCAGACGCTGCTCCTACTTCACCACAAGAGTCTGCTACAGTGACACTGCACCCACCATCTCTCAGGATCAGAACCTCTGCACCTGGATTGGATCAGGAACAGGACCTGAGGACCAGAACCTGAGGACATGGAGAGGACATGGATCAGGGCCTGGAGTGGATCAGAACCAGGACCTGAGGACCTGGACCAGGACTTGAAGACCGAGACCAGGACCTTTGAACCTGGAGAGAACCAGGAATTCTGTCCTTCCCTGGTTCTGGCCTCGTTCTGGTCCTCGTCTTGACTTTTGTCCTGGTCCTGTCCTGGTTCTTTTCTGGCCCTCCTCTCTCTCTGACCTCTTCTCTACCTCCACAGCTGCTCCTCCTCTCTGGGTCTCCTCGGGGGCCGTCAGCTGCTGTCTCTGGGCCCCGTCTCCCCCTCCTCCCCATCAGACTGTGGGGGTCTGGGGGCCTCACAAAGAGAACTGCTCCACACTCTGGGCTTCAGCTACGAGACGCAGCGAGCCGACCATGGACCAGAACCTCTGGGTGATCTGGGAGAACGTCCTACCAGGTGAACGTGGCACCAGGTGAACGTGGCACCAGGTGAACGTGGCACCAGGTGAACGTGGCACCAGGTGAAGACATCTGTGGACAAACCTAACAGAGGTGTATTTTTTACAGCGAAGATAAAGGTGTTGGACCAGAAGGACCCTCCAAACACTGCGTCCGAGTCTTCTGCGTACGACTACAGCTCCGTGATGCACTTCAGCAGGTCATAATCATAATAATGCATTGGTTTTGTATAGAGCTGTTAAGGACACTCAAAGACGCTTCACATTCTTTCACTCCATACGCGGTGGTGATAAACTACTACTGTAGCCACAGCTGCCCTGGGGCACACGGACAGAAGTGAGGCAACTAACATGTGACAACAACCCCTCCCACACATTAGTCCTTCACACGCGAACCTTACTCATTACAGGAAATGTGGGGGAAGTATTTTGCCTATCAGGACACAAGTACAGTTTGCCACTTGAAAGCCACAGTTGCCCCACTGAGGCAGAGGTCTCCCATCACAGAACTAACCAGGCCCTGCCCTGCACAATTTCAGAGGTCTGACAGGATCTGGCTTTCACCTGGAAGTACGGCCACATTTATAGATGCTCTTCCGTCTGTTGTCACTTACAGCTGGGCTTTCTCTAAAAACGGACAGCGCACCCTGCAGGCGACCCGCGGTGACCCGCAGCTGGGCTCTGATCACATGACTGATGCTGACGTGAAGAGGGTGAACCAGCTCTACTGCCCCCAGTGGAACATCTGAGCATTTCAGAATAAAAACCAGAACCATTTGTTTCACACTGAATATGAAAATAAAGAGCACATGTCAAACTTAGAAGCATGGCTAACCCCAGCCCCAGGTCACTGATCATTGGTCTGTGCTCAATGGTGCACGCTCGCACCATGGACGTCCAAAAAAAGAGACCAGAGAGAGAGACTAAAGAGTGACCAAAGAGAGAGAGAGACTAAGAGACTAAAGAGAGACCAAAGCGACACCAGAGCTGTGAGCCTTCTGACCAATCAGAGTGCCGCTGATTAGAGCAGGACAAGTTTGTTGCTCAAAAGTGTGTATTTATAGAAAACCAATTGATTTCAAAAGAACAAAAGTACATGAGACAAGAGACACTGAAGTCTTCACAAATCCCTCCTTTAGTGAACTCCGGTCTCCTTACTGCCCGTGTGGATGTAGACTGCAGTACCGCGGGGGGCCTCTAGTCCATGGAGTCACCTGTGTTTCCGCTCTTGTGCTCGGACTTTCAACCACAAACTGTTTAAGCAAATGTCTTTATTTATGACTAAACGGGAGAAGAAATGTTACAAAACACAATATAAATATAATTATCAAAATGACTGCTATGAAATAAACAACAGGGTTAGACCTGGTTCACTTCTGGTTCAGTCTGGTTTAGGCCTAGTTCAAATCTGGTCCAGTCCTGGTTCAGACCTGACTCACTCCTGGTTCAAGTCTAGGTTTAGTCCTGATTCAGTCCCGGTTAAGTCCTGGTTCAAGTCCAGGAGATGTTGGCTGCGTGCTCCTTGGCCTTCATTCTCAGCACAGCGATACTGGAGCTACGCCGCTCCAGCTCGGGCTTAGTCTCAAAGGGAGGAGGGGGCCCGAGGGGGGTTAGAGTCGGTCCGTGTGGGTTTAGACCAGGTCCGAGCGGGGCCAGACCAGGTCCGTGGGGGCTGGCCGTGAGCAGAGAGTCCGGGTTGAAGAAGCTGAACTGGTTTTGCTGGTTGTAGTTGGCGTAGTTCTGGTCAGAGTGCGGAGGGTAGGAGCAGGGGGGGGAGGAGCGCTGCAGTACACAGGACGAGGCCACAGGGGGCGCTGCTGGGGGGGCCGACCACAGGCTGTTGGGGATCTGCAGACACACAACCAGAACCACATGTGTTTGAGAGACCTCCATGTTCAACACTGGTCCAACACACACACACACACACACATACACTGTAAAACGTTTTCCTGTAAAATAACAGTAAAGAGCAGGCAGCAGGGTTGCCAGATCTTTACCGTTATTTTCACGGTATTTTAACGTACAGTGACTTTACGGTAAAAATCTGTAAAAAGAAAAACGGTATATTTCTGTATTACTACAATTTACAGTAAAGAGCTGACAGCAAAGTTGAAAAAAAATTACTTGACAGTATAGTATTCAATCTGAAGAGACCAAAGACAGACAATTAATACATTAAAATGATTTATTTGTTTGCCGCATTGACCCTGGCAGTGACACTTGCAGCGAGGAGTTCAATTGCTGCTGAAGATGATCTCACATCCCCTGGGGTCAAGCAGGCTAGAAGCATGGTGTGAATGGGGCGTAGGCAGAGCAGGAGCAGGAGCCAGAGCAGAGGCCAGAGCAGGAGCCAAAGCAGGAGCCAAAGCTGGAGTCTAGAGCAGGAGGCGTAGCAGGAGCCTAGAGCGGGAGCCAGAGCTGGAGGAGGCGCTGCTTGTCAGGAAGTAGCTGCCTTTAAACGGCCCACTTTGCAGTCAGAGGGTTGGCAGGAGGCTGGCCGAGCTGTGTGATTGGTTGGCCTGGATGAGGGGCGTTGCACCCGGTCTTTCACTCTGAATTTGCGCTTAAGCTTGATTTCTGTAAATCACAGATCGAGATCACAGTATTATGTAAATCACAGTTTGCTACAGTAGAAGAAGTAATACATGAATACATACAGCAGATAATATTTGGATCGTACAAATACATTCTATATCGGCCGTTAGTATCTTCTAATAGTTTACTGCAGACCAACCTCAACTCATCAAAGAAATAGAAAATAACTTTGTGACTTTTATGCATTACAAAAACATGAATCAAAAAGAAACCTTTATTTCAGAGTAAATAAACCGAATATAAACCCTGTTTTTTAAATCTTTTTTTAAATAAAATGGCAGGGGTTGAAAAATCAATACCTGCCGTGTCTCAAACAACACAACAACATGTGCAATAAGACCCTTTGAAGCTATGAGAGTAGAACAATAAAAACATGTTTAGATGAAACCAAGCTGTGCCACTGCAGGATAAACTTGCAGCTTACCTCTGATAACGTCCTGTGAGGTAGACTTTTACTTTCTTGTTAATTCACTTTTGAGGCCGCTGTTCCTCACTGCAGAATCATTCCAGTGTTTCCTCTGTCAAAAAACAACAATCGTAATCATTACAATGTCAAAACTCAAAAAGGCTCCATAAACACTCCAAAGGGTTTTACATCAGACTGGAGTTACAACAAAAACCTTTTCAGATATTCAATTAAATGCAATGTTTGTTTATTTTGTTATTTTTTTCACTGGTCAAATAGGTTGAATGACAAATAGAAGCTGCATCAAATACATAACACAATCTACAACCTAAATGTACAATGTTAATACCATTTCATGCAAAATATAAAAAAACTGATTTCAATTGTATATTCAAAGAAGGTATTTTACCTCCGAGTGACTTCCAGGAGCAGCCTCTTCCTGACCAGCCTCCTGCAGGTTGAATATGTCGTAGGTTGTAAACACTGCAGCAGGTCCAATGGCCCTCACAGAGTTCATCCAACCTCTCACTGTAACTTGCCCTGTTGCCCCTGAATCTTCAAGTCAGAGCCACAAGGGAATGCATGTTACCTGACATTAAATGGTCACTATGATAAATGATGTGATTAATCTAAATTAAATATATACCTGGCAGTAATAGATGAGTGAGTTGTCTCAAAGTCGAATGTAGAGGCAGAAACCTGTAGAGTACGATACATTACATGTTTAACACTTTTAACAACAGAAAAATATTAAAAGGTCAAATTTGTTCAAAAGAATTGGGAATGGAAAATTTAAAGCAAATAGTATTTTTACAGGTCTTGGAGTTTTTCTGCAAGGTACTGCACTTTATCTGTTTTATCATACTGTTTTATTAGTTGGTTGTATTCATGTTCTTAAAGTTTTTTTCATTAACAAGAGCTGTTCAGTGCATAGGCTAATGTTAGAGAATTAAACAAAAAATAGTCTTCAAATCCATTCTTAATTCAAATCCAAGTCTCACTGATACGACATGTTTAAATCACTAGAAAACAATCTTCTGACCAACAGCTGAATATCAAACATTATTATTATTATTATTATTATTTATTATTATTAAAAAGAGTTTAATTACCGTTTGATTTGTAGATGCAAGATCCTCACTGTGGCGTTGAAGAACACACGATGATATGTAGCACATGTCGTCTAAACATGTGTCATCCTGGCAGTTCTGAGGTCCACATGGTGGTTCTGAGGTCCACATGATGGTTCTGACTTCCACATGGTGGTTCTGAGGTCCACATGATGGTTCTGAGGTCCACATGATGGTTCTGAGGTCCACATGATGGTTCTGAGTTCCACATGGTGGTTCTGAGGTCCACATGATGGTTCTGAGTTCCACATGATGGTTCTGAGGTCCACATGATGGTTCTGAGGTCCACATGATGGTTCTGAGGTCCACATGTGGTTCTGAGGTCCACATGGTGGTTCTGAGGTCCACATGATGGTTCTGAGGTCCACATGTGGTTCTGATGTCTCTCCAGAGGTCGATGGCAGATAAGTTCTGTATTGTATCTATATTTTTGTCCAAAATAATTAGGCTAGCCTGAGCTAGCGATGTCTGGCTAATGTTTTGACCCGGCTCCAAAATACACAGGTGTGCAATTTTTTCAAATATCCTGTAGTGTCCTGTAATTTAAACATTATTATACTGGTAAGGGCACCTGTTCTGTTGCTTCTAGTTAAGCAACCCATAATGCATTGCAAACTACAGTACTAACCTGTTAAACATGAAAACGGTACTTTAGTGTTGAAAATTGGCCGTAAATTTACAGCAATTTCTTACAGTGTATATACAGATAAACACACAAATACACACATACAGGCATACACACACATACACAGATATACATATGTGTGTGTGTGTGTGTGTGTGTGTGTGTACCTGTGTGTAGCTCTGGGGCAGCAGCTCGTAGGTCGGGGGGTAGTGGGTCTTGTGCAGAGTCCCATATCTCTCCCTCTTCCTCCACTTCGCTCTGCGGTTCTGGAACCAGACCTGAAGAAACATCTCACATGAAGCAACGACCTCCTGCAGGAGAGAACACCTCCTGCAGGAGAGAGCACCTCCTCCAGGAGAGAACACCTCCTGCAGGAGAGAGCACCTCCTCCAGGAGAGAACACCTCCTCCAGGGGCCGGGACTGAGTCAAGAGAGCAGAGGTCCTGGTCCTCTCGAGGAGGAGGCCAAGTCTCAGAGAGGGAAGGACTGAGGTGAGACCGTCAGTGATGTGCTCACTCTCTCAGACTGTTGTGGTCTAAAAGAGTGAGCAGCGTCTGCAGTCAGAGCTCTGCATTTACTGCTCAGTCCTTGTTCTCTCCCTCAGCTCTGGTCATGAGCTTTGGATAAGGACCCAAAGGAACAGATGGAGGACATGGGCGGCCCACATAAGATTTCTACACAGATTGGGATGAGGAGCTCTGTCAGAAGGGAACAGCTCAAAGTAGAGTCGCTGCTCCACCAGCTGAGGAGCAGGTGCTCACCTGTACGCGGGCCTCTGTGAGCTCAGTGCGAGTAGCCAGCTGCTCGCGCACGTACACGTCGGGGTAGTGTGTCTTCTGGAACACCTTTTCCAGCTCGTCCAGCTGCGCGCTGCTGAACGTGGTGCGATGGCGTCGCTTCTTGCTGCTGGTCACATGACTGTCACCCTCCAGGCACTCCTCGCCCAAGCGCCGGGAACTGGAGGAGACCGGGGAGGAGACCAGCTCGCCCTGCAGAGAGTCGGCCTCTGGTTTGGAGACCGAGTATGGAGCTGCAGAAACATGACTCGTCAGATAAGAGTTCTGCTCTTCACAAGCTGTCCCTCTGCTGTTTCATGGACTGATCATGTGACCCAGGCCCAGGGTGTGGGCTCCACCCCCTCCCACCTGGGAGCCTCTGCAGTCCTGGATCTACAGCTTCAGTCCTGGATCTACAGCCTCAGTCCTGGATCTACAGCCTCAGTCCTGGACATACAGCCTCAGTCCTGGATCTACAGCCTCAGTCCTGGATCTACAGCCTCAGTCCTGGACATACAGCCTCAGTCCTTGGCGATGCAGGAGGGTCAAAGGACAGTGATGATCTGGGACATTTCTGCACATTAATGAACATTTCTGGACAGTGTTCATCCTGCTCCTATGGACCAACGGCTCCTATGTGTTTGTTATTTTTGCCTTCCTCAACACTTAAAAAAATTACAAAAACTACAACAAATTCTCGTGTTTCATTATTGTCTGTTTAATAATAATAACAATAATGAATTGGTTTTATATAGTGCTTTTTTGGGCACTCAAAGACGCTTCACATGTCAATATTCATTCAATCCAAACGCAGAAGGAAGCGTCACGAAGGCATGTGATCTGTCACAAAGATGTTCCAGTGGTTCAGGTCTAAATGTGTAACATGTGTTTATAATCTCAGTCATTTAAACTCACACCAGCTTTGTTTCTGCAGTAACAAATATGAGGACAAAAGCGAATTCACAACATTTTAAAATCTATTCAATTCAAATCTATTTCTGTATTCTGTAGACGTCTGCTGTTGTGTTTTGTCTAGGAGGTTTTTACAAAGTTGTGAATTCACTAACAACAGATCAAATAGAGATCAGAGCGAGAGAGAGACCAAGGAGAGAACAGTGATAAACTCGAGGGAGTCCAGAGAGAGAACAGTAAGAGACCAGAGAGAGAGAGACCAGAGAGAGACCAGTAAGAGACCAGAGAGAGGGAGACCAGAGAGAGACCAGTAAGAGACCAGAGAGAGGGAGACCAAAGAGAGACCAGAGAGAGACCAGAGAGAGAGACCAGAGAGAGACCAGAGAGAGAACAGAGAGAGACCAGAGAGAGACCAGAGAGAGAGAGACCAGAGAGAGAACAGAGAGAGACCAGAGAGAGACCAGAGAGAGAGAGACCAGAGAGAGACCAGAGAGAGACTAGAGAGAGAGAGACCAGAGAGAGAACAGAGAGAGACCAGAGAGAGAGAACAGAGAGAGAACAGAGAGCGACCAGAGGGAGAAACCCGAGAGAGACCCGAGACACCCAAGAAAGAAGTACAGTATCAAGGGCCATCAACCCATAAGAAGCGGGATTAAAAACAATTACAATACGATTTTTTTTTTCTTTCAGCAGAGGACACTTGGTCACTGTCCATAAATGTTAATAAATGTAAATAAATATGCTAACGTGCATAAATGTCCCAGATCACCCCTAGATCCTTAGACCGTCCTGTATCAGCCTCCTGTACTCAACAATCCACTGGAAAAATAGTGTGGAAATTTCGAGGAGGCCTTTTACAGAGAAAGATCTGCTCCCACGGGTGAGACTTGGTTCTGTTTCAAAACTTTAATTCCAGAAGAAGAAGAAAAAAAAGACTATACTCTAATCTCGTATTGTCGTGTATTTAAACACACATTAATCCCGGTCCGTTGTGTAACAGTGGAGGAGGACGGAGGTCACTCACCTCTGTCCAGGCCGAAGCTCTGGTCGCATTTCCCCGATGGTTTGCCAAAGTAGTGTCCGGCCTCGAGACTCTGGAACACCGGCTCCAGGTAGAAGTCCCCACCACCCTTCACCACGGGGCTTTTTAGAGAGAACTTCTCCTCCACGAAATCCATGAAGGAGCCGCGCGTAATGGGCCGAAAGAGTCAAATATAGCGCCGTGCGTAAAGAGCCGAGCGGGCCGTGCGTAAAAGCAAATTAAGGCCAAGTCAAAACTTCAGGTCCATCATGAGATCTACAGAAAAAACACAATAACAACATATATTTTTAAATGCACAACACAACTTAACGCAAACGCAGCCACAGTCACAGTAATTAAAGCTGCTGTACGTAACTTCCCTTTGCTCTTTGCTCCACAGCTGAGGCCCGTGTGTTTTTTATCTATATTTTTTAAAACTCCTTGTTCCATATGCACTGGAGTGAGTTACAGCTCATATCTGCGGAAAGGAGAGCGGACACAATGGACAACTGTGTGTGCGATGAAGTAAAGTTAATAAAGCTGCGATACGTAAATTTTATGTTTCATAAATAACACATGAAATTAGTACAGAAAGAGCCTTAAAGTAAAATGGTGTGAACAAATCCCACACAACATGCTCTCTTCAATAGAAAACCTGTTTTCTTTTGAGTAAGAGAAAGCCCTGAGTCGTTTTACGCTTTGGGCTGATTGGCTAAATGAGGGTGGTCCTCTCGTTTTCACTTTTCTGTCAGAAAAAGCTGATCTAAAGATGTGACAGAGGCCAGCAACTATAGAGACATACAGAGGTATTTTATTGTGGCTTGAAAGTTACGTACCCCAGCTTTAACCACAGTCACACACAAAACGTTGCTTAAATAGATGGTCAACACTTGTTCCATTGTTGTGGCTTGAAAGTTACGCACCTCAGATTTTTAAGAAGTAGAAAAAAGTGCGTTAAGCAAATCTCTCGTCAACCAAGACTTGAGCAGGACTAAACCAGATCTCAACCAGGACTGCGTGACTTTGCTTCTATAATCAGTTATATAGCACACTTTTCCTGCAAAAAATCTGCAAATCTGGACTTTTCTCATTGATTTTGAAGACTATTCCTGAAGTGAACAACATATGAATAAAGTGAACTTACTTCTGAAAGAGCCGTGTGGATGTCCATGAGCTCAGCGGGAGTGACGGAGGCCTGAGCCCGGGGAGAGAGGCTTTATATGCCGCTTATGGGCCGCAGTGGGAACCGCCTCTCAGCACCACGGTCCGCCCTCAAGAAGCCTCAGGGGCCTCACTTCGCTGTCACTCATGATTAAAGACGCGCTGTGTGTGTTTGTGTGTGTGTGTGTGTGTGTGTGTGTGTGTGTGTGTGTGTGTGCGTGCGTGTGTGTGTGTGCGTGTGTGTGGATGCGTGTGTGTGCGTGTGTGCGTTCATGATCAGTTTAAACTGTGACCAAGAGGTTCTGGTCATCAAAAAACAGATACATCCAATTGCATCAATGTAAAATATGAGCCTTTATTCCACTGAGCTAAATATGTGGCTCTCACATCACACAAGTCACAATAGGGTCCAAACTCTGCACACTGACAGCGTAACGAGCCGTGGAGCCGTGTTTGGGTGAATGAAGCTCTTACCGTCAGAGTTTGGGCTGTTGCACACACTGCTTTTTCCTTTATAAAGTTGTCCTTGTGAGAAAAATGGCAATGAAAGTAATATGAAAGTTTCTATATTGCTCCATGAGGATGAGAAACTCTCTCTGTTTTTTCCCTGGTCTCTCTCTGGTCTCTCTCTGGTCTTTTTGTGGTCTATCTGCTCTCAGCTCACATGGGTCAGAAACCAGAGATCAAGACCAAGATCTCCACACTTCAACATTTGTGAGAAACTTGTTGAAATAAAGAGACAATAAATGTTGAATAAATATTTAATTAATAAATGCAACAAAAACAAACAGAAAAAATGGCCATACAAAATATTTACTTATTTATTCAGTAATTTCATTTTTTCTTTACTTTTAAAAAGTAAGACAAAAGTTGGTACAGTCCTGGTTCAGACCTCGTTCAGACCTCGTTCAGATCTGGTTCAGTCCTGGTTTAGTCCTGGTTTAGTCCTCTTTCCGGACCCCCAGCCAGTGCTCTGCTGAAGTCTCTTGTCTCTGAATGAAATCCTCTCTTTTGGACTCGGAGCCGATGAGACTCGTTTGGGCCCCAGGACCTCGGCCCCTGGAACACACAGGTCTGGAGTCAAGGCTCGGTCTTATACTAATACTTACTCTAACTTATTATACTTTTACCCTTATTAGACCAGAGTGCCACAAGCTGGAGAAGGGAAAGAGAGGGAGAAAGAGCGTGAGTGTGTGTGTGTGTGTGTGTGTGTAGAGATGTGTGCGTATCATAGAGTGTGTGTGTGTGTACAGTGGACCCGACTAAACGAAACCAAAATATGTATAGGTGTATAAAACGAGGACTTCTTCTTTGGCCGTGACCTTGCGCTCGGGTGAGGAGTGGAGGGATCACAGAGAGGTTAGGGGCCTGGGGGGGGGGGTTAGGGTTAGGGGGTCCTGGGGTTCTGGTGAGGTGTGATATGAGCCCAGCAGGACACCGTACTCCAGTCTGAGCCTCTCCCGCTCTGCACACGCTGGAGTTTATTTTCTTAAAGTTAAATCCGGTTTTAGTCTGGATTATTTTGGCCTTTTCTTCAATTATTGGCCCAGAATCAAAAGCAGAAGTTTTCCACGTGGGGCTGAGTTTGACCCTGAGCCTCGACAGCCTCAGTCCTGGATCTACAGCCTCAGTCCTGGACCCACAGCCTCAGTTCTGGATCTACAACCTCAGTCCTGGGTCTACAGCCTCAGTCCTGGATCTACAGCCTCGGTCCTGGGTCTACGATCTACAGCCTCAGTCCTGGGTCTACGATCTACAGCCTCAGTCCTGGATCTACAGCCTCAGTCCTGGGTCTACGATCTACAGCCTCAGTCCTGGATCTACAGCCTCAGTCCTGGATCTACAGCCTCGGTCCTGGATCTACAGCCTCGGTCCTGGATCTACAGCCTCGGTCCTGGATCTACAGCATAAGCACTAAGTCATCTTTTTCAGATTCGCCCAGACAGTGGTTCTCTCGCTCGCTTATGGACCAACCACCATCATTGCATTTCTGTGTTTGAGGAGGAAAGTTTGGAAGTGGAGATGAAAAGTTGAGTTTGCAGAATGTTTCTCCTTTAAAAGTCAGATGTGATGAAGACAGAAGGGTGCAGAGTTGAGCTGGAGAGACTGAGACGTGGGTGTTGTAGCTGCGTCCTGGGCCACATTCCTCTGAGTTGGGCCTAAAGTGGGACTCGATAATGTTCCGGATAAAGGAGTTGTGTTTGTGAGAGGAGCAGATGACCGGTGGAATCTTTAAAACGCTGCTCTGTCCCATAAGTGGATAAGTGGTCTCTGCTGACGGAGATATGTGACCCACGAGACTGTGTGTGTGTGTGTGTGTGTGTGTGTGTGTGTGTGTGTGTGTGTGTGAGGATGTGTGTCTCTCTCTGGTCTCTATCTTTCTCTCTATGGAGTCTCGCTCTAGTGTCTCTCTCTCTAGTCTCTCTGGTCCCTCTCTGGTCTCTCTCCCTTCTGGTCCCATGCTTTTCTCTCAATTTGGTCTCTCTCTGGCCACTCTTGCTTCTGGTCCCGCTCTCTGGTCTCTCTCTGGTCTCTCTCTCTAGTTTCTCTGGTCTCTCTCTCTAGTTTCTCTGGTCTCTCTCTCTAGCCTCTCTCTGGTCTCTCTCTCTCAGGTCTCTCTCTCAGGTCTCGGTCTCTGGTCTCTCTCTCTGGTCTCTCTCTCTCAGGTCTCGCTCTCTGGTCTTTCTCTGGTCCCTCTCTGGTCCCTCTCTGATCTCTCTGGTCTCTCTCTCTCTGGTTTCTCTCTGGTCTTTCTCTCTCTGATCTCTCTCTGGTCTCTCTCAGGTCTCCCTCTGTTCTCTCTCTCTGGTCCCTCTCGCTGGCCCCTCTCTGGTAGAGCTCTGGTCCCTGTCTCTTTGGTCCCTCTCTCTCTGGTCTCTCTCTCTCAGGTCTCACTCTCTGGTCTCTCTCTCTGGTCTCTCTCTCTCTGGTCTCACTTGTAGTTGAAGCAGAGCTGAGTCCTGGACATGAGCGTGACTCCAGCCGCACTCCGCTTCGATGCGTCTGCAAATGTAAATAAAAAACGTTATTTTCACTTTTCCTCAGATTGTGTAGAATGGTGCTGAGCGTCCTCACCACCAGCTGCACGCGGCCTCCGTTCACGATGTGAGAACTCAGCTTCGGCAGGAATCTGAAAACACACGGTACACAACAATCACATGGAACTGCTAAAGCTGGGGTACGTAACTTTAGTCTCATAAATAATGTAGTTTATCCAACAGAACGAGTCTAAAAGTAAAATGTGTCTGATTAAAACATGCTGTGTTCAATCATGAGTCACTATTTGACTCTTTGGGCTGAGCGATGATTGGCTGGCTCTCTGGTCTCTCTCTCTGGTCTCTCACTCTAGTCTATCTCTGGCTTCTCTCTGGTTTCACTCTGGTCTCTCTCACTGGTCTCTATAACGTCGGTCTCTATAATGTCTCTCTCTGGTCTCTCTCTGGTCTCTCTATGGTCTCTCTATGGTCTCTCTATGGTCTCTCTATGGTCTCTCTCTGGTCTCTCTATGGTCTCTCTCTGGTCTCTCTCTGGTCTCTCACTCTAGTCTACAGTATCTCTAGTTTCTCTCTGGTCTCTCTCTGGTCTATCTCTGGTCTCTCTCTGGTTTCTCTCTGGTCTCTCTCTGTTCTCTTTCTGGTCTATCTCTGGTCTACTGTATCTCTGGTCTATATAACGTCTCTATGGTCACTCTCTGGTCTCTCTCTGGTCTCTCTCTGGTCTCTCTCTGGTCTCTCTCTGGTCTCTCTCTGGTCTCTCTCTGGTCTCTCTCTGGTCTCTCTCTGGTCTCTCTCTGGTCTCCCTCAGGTCTCTCTCAGGTCTCTCTCAGGTCTCTCTCAGGTCTCTCTCAGGTCTCTCTCAGGTCTCTCTCAGGTCTCTCTCTGGTCTCTCTCTGGTCTCTCTCTGGTCTCTCTCTGGTCTCTCTAGAGTATATCTGATCTATGTGACAAAGGGCTAATGTACATGCATGTAAACATTAGTGATTGAAGCCAAGAAACTAGTGGCATGGAATTTCTTACTTTAGTTTGATTGTTGTGATCCGAATTGTTGTGACGGTCACACATTCCTGTCTGGGCTCTTTGTGGAGCTCTAGTTTTGGCCTCTGATGGAGTGGACAGGACACAACATAAAAAACACTCACCTGCGGTTTCCTTCTGTTCCTCCTCCTGAAAAACAAGACATAATATTTCAACACCTCAAACCTGTAATGTCTCGTCTCTCTTCAGATCTCAGTGGTTGGTGGAGGAGACCAGAGAGAGAGCAGAAAGAGAGATGAGATCAGAGGGAGAGACCCGAGAGAGAAGGGAGAGAGACTAGAGAGAGACCAGAGAGGGATTAGAGAGAGACCAGAGAGAGAATGAGGGAGAGACCAAAGAGAGGCCAGAGAGAGAGCAGAGAGAGAGAGAGACCTATGAGAGCAGCGAGAGACAAAAGACAAAAGAGAGGCCAGAGAGAGATCCTAGCGTGGCACTAGAGAGAGCAGAGAGACTAGAAAGAGACCAGAGAGGGTTTAGAGAGAGACCAGAGAGAGACTGAAAGGGAGACCAAAGAGATACCAGGAAGAGACTAGCGTGACACCAGAGAGAGACAAGAGAGAGAGAGAGTCGATAGAGACCAACAAAGACCAGAGACCAGAGAGAGAGAGAGACCAGCGAGAGAGCAATGAGAGATAGAGACCAAAAAGAGACCATAAAGAGACCATAGAGAGCGGGCAGAGAGACATTACAGTGACTCGTCTCTCATCAACAAGGAGTAATATAGACACTTTCCCACATATTTTTACAAGGACGTGTGTGTGTGTGTGTGTGTGTGTGTGTGTGTGTGTGTGTGTGCCTGTGTGTGTGTATTTCATGGTCCTCTTCACCTGAGCCCCCCGTGAGCCTGAAGCGGCGTCTCTCTCTCTCCTGCTCCTCTGCGACTGGCCTTAAGTTAAATCAGATCCACATGAGGCGGCGCGGCGCAGAGAGCACTCGTCCCGTAAACAGCGACTCGGGTTTCTCTGTGCGCTTGGATCGACTCTCAGTGTGAAATCCACTTAAGTGTTCAGGAGACAGGAGGAAGGAAACGCCGTGGCCACGCGGATGTTTGGCCACAGAACGCAACAGCAGAATGATAAACACGGAGAGAACGCTTTAAAAAAGGAAAATAAAAATGGTTTTCATGTGGAGCCAGGACCGGGAACGGGAATAGTCTACGGCCTACGGTGTTTACATGGACCGAGGTGGGCTTTTTAAGGGCTTGCCTTGCGAAAGTATTTGGCCCCTTGAACCTTTCAACATTTTGCCACATTTCAGGCTTCAAACATAAAGATTTTTTTTCAAGAATCAACAACAGGTGGGACACAATTGTGAAGTGGAACGAAATTTATTGGATAATTTAAACTTTTTTAACAAATAAAAAACTGAAAAGTGGGGCGTGCAATATTATTTGGCCCCTTTGCGCAAATACTTTGTAGCGCCACCTTTTGCTGCAATTACAGCTGCAAGTCGCTTGGGGTATTTCTCAGTTTTGCACATCGAGAGACTGGAATTCTTTCCCATTCTTCCTTGCAAAACAGCTCGAGCTCAGTGAGGTTGGATGGAGAGCGTTTGTGAACAGCAGTCTTGAGCTCTTTCCACAGATTCTCGATTGGATTCAGGTCTGGACTTTGACTTGGCCATTCTAACACCTGGATACGTCTATTTGCGAACCATTCCATTGTAGATTTGGCTTCATGTTTTGGATCATTGTCCTGTTGGAAGATAAATCTCCGTCCCAGTCTCAGGTCTTTTGCAGACTCCAACAGGTTTTCTTCCAGAATGGTCCTGTATTTGGCTCCATCCATCTTCCCGCTCCCCCCTGGACTGCCACCTTAACGTGGTGGGGGAGTTTGAGTACTCGGATGATCCTGGGAGCTATGCTGTCTGGGGCTTCATGCCCCTGGTAGGGCCTCCCATGGCAGACAGGTCTCGGGTGACGAGTCAGACAAAGAGCAGTCCAGAAGACACCATGGACAGCACTCAAAAGAAATCAGTGACGTCGCCCGGCATGGCGCAGCCGGGGCCCCACCCTGGAGCCAGGCCTGGGGTCGGGGCTCGTAGGCGAGCGCCTGGTGGCCGGGCCTTAGCCCACGGGGCCCGGCCGGGCTTAGCCCGAATGGACGACGTGGGCAGTCCCTCCTGTGGGCCCACCACCCGCAGAGGGGTCCGTGGTGGCGAAACGGTGCAGAGAGGACTGGGCAGCGGTCGAAGGCGGAGACCTCGACGACCCAGTCCGCACACACAACAGCTGGCTCTTGGGACGTGGAACGTCACCTCACTGGGGGGGAAGGAGCCCGAGCTCGTGGGGGAGGTTGAGCGATACCGACTAGAGATAGTCGGCCTCACCTCCACACACAGCTTGGGCTCTGGAACCCAACTCCTTGAGAGGGGTTGGACGCTCCACTTTTCTGGTGTTTCCCGCGGGGAGAGGCGGCGAGCTGGGGTGGCCATTCTCATTGCCCCCCATCTCAGCCGCCACGTGTTGGAGTTCTCCCCGGTGAATGAGAGGGTCGCGTCCCTCCGCCTCCGGGTGGGGGATAAGTCTCTCACTGTTGTGACGGCCTACGGGCCTAACAGCAGTGCAGAGTACCCGGCCTTCTTGGAGTCCTTGGGAGGGGTACTGGACGGTGCACCGCCCGGGGACTCCGTTATTCTCCTGGGGGACTTCAACGCCCATGTGGGAAACGCCAGTGACACTTGGAGAGGGGTGATCGGGAAGAGCGGCCCCCCTGATCTGAACCCGAGCGGTGTTCAGTTGTTAGACTTCTGTGCCAGTCACAGTTTGTCCATCACGAACACCATGTTCGAGCACAAGGGTGTCCACCAGTGCACGTGGCACCAGGACACCCTAGGCCGGAGGTCGATGATCGACTTTGTTGTCGTATCATCTGACCTTCGACCGCGTGTCTCGGACACTCGGGTAAAGAGAGGGGCGGAGCTGTCAACCGATCATCACCTGGTCGTGAGTTGGATCCGCTGGCAGGGGAAGAAGCCGGTCAGACCTGGCAGACCCAAGCGTATAGTGAGGGTCTGCTGGGAACGTCTCGCTGAGCCCCCTGTCAGACGGACTTTCAACTCACACCTCCGGGAGAGTTTCTCCCAGGTCCCGGTGGAGGAGGGGGACATGGAGTCCGAGTGGACCATGTTCTCTGCCTCAATCGCCGATGCGGCGGCTCATAGCTGTGGTCGCAAGGTCTCTGGTGCTGGTCCCGGCGGCAACCCCCGAACCCGGTGGTGGACACCGGCAGTAAGGGATGCTGTCAGGCTGAAGAAGGAGTCCTATCGAGCCATGATGGTTCGGGGGACTCCTGAGGCAGCTGTCCAGTACCGGCAGGCCAAGCGTGCCGCGGCCCGGGCTGTTGCAGAGGCAAAAACCCGGGACTGGGAGGAGTTCGGAGAGTCCATGGAGCATGACTATCGGTCGGCCTCAAAGAAATTCTGGCAAACCGTCCGGCGCCTCAGGAGGGGGAAGCAGTTCTTTGCCAACACCATGTACGGTGCGGGTGGAGAGCTGCTGACCTCGACTGGGGATATTGTCGGGCGGTGGAAGGAATACTTTGAGGTTCTCCTCAATCCCCCCGTCACGTCCTCTGTTTCAGAGGCAGAGGCTGAGGATGTTGGGGCGGATACATCCATCTCCCTGGCTGAGGTCACCAAGGTGGTTGGTAGCCTCCATGGTGGCAAGGCTCCGGGTGTGGATGAGATCCGCCCTGATTATCTAAAGTCTCTGGATGTTGTAGGACTGTCTTGGCTGACACGTCTCTGCAACATCGCGTGGCGATCGGGGGCGGTGCCAATGGAGTGGCAGACCGGGGTGGTGGTCCCTCTCTACAAGAAGGGGGACCGGAGGGTGTGTTCCAATTATCGTGGGATCACACTCCTCAGCCTCCCCGGTAAGGTCTACTCCAAGGTACTGGAGAGGAGGCTACGGCCGATGGTCGAATCTCGGATCCAGGAGGAGCAGTGTGGTTTTCGTCCCGGTCGCGGAACACTGGACCAGCTCTATACTCTCCATCGGATACTCGAGGGTTCATGGGAGTTCGCCCAACCGTCCACATGTGCTTTGTGGATTTGGAGAAGGCGTTCGACTGTGTTCCCCGGGGTGTCCTTTGGGGGGTTCTCCGGGAGTACGGGGTCGGGGGTCCTCTGCTGAGGGCCATCCGGTCCCTGTATGACCGGAGCCAGAGCTGTGTTCGCATTGCCGGCAGTAAGTCAGACCTGTTCCCGGTGAATGTTGGCCTCCGACAGGGCTGCCCTTTGTCACCGGTTCTGTTCACTGTAATTATGGACAGAATATCTAGGCGCAGCCAGGGGTCGGAGGGGGTCCGGTTCGGGGACCACAGGATTTCATCTCTGCTGTTTGCGGACGATGTTGTCCTGTTGGCTCCAACGAACCAGGACCTGCAGCATGCACTGGGACGGTTTGCAGCCGAGTGTGAAGCGGCTGGGATGAGAATCAGCACCTCCAAATCTGAGGCCATGGTGCTCGACCGGAAAAAGGTGCCCTGCCCTCTTCAGGTGGGTGGAGAGGTCCTTCCTCAAGTGGAGGAGTTCAAGTATCTCGGGGTCTTGTTCACGAGTGAGGGAAGAATGGAGCGTGAGATTGACAGGCGGATCGGTGCAGCGTGCGCAGTGATGCGGTCGCTGTATCGGACTGTTGTGGTAAAGAAGGAGCTGAGCCGAAAGGCAAAGCTCTCGATTTACCGGTCAATCTTCGTTCCCTCCCTCACCTATGGTCATGAGCTTTGGGTAATGACCGAAAGAACGAGATCGCGGATACAAGCGGTCGAAATGAGCTTCCTCCGCAGAGTGGCTGGGCGCTCCCTTAGAGATAGGGTGAGGAGCTCAGTCACACGGGAGGAGCTCGGAGTAGAGCCGCTGCTTCTCCACGTCGAGAGGAACCAGTTGAGGTGGCTCGGGCATCTGTTCCGGATGCCTCCTGGACGCCTCCCTGGGGAGGTGTTCCGGGCACGTCCCACCGGGAGGAGGCCCCGCGGAAGACCTAGGACACGCTGGAGGGACTATGTCTCTCAGCTGGCCTGGGAACGCCTTGGGGTCCCCCCGGACGAGCTGGAGGAAGTGTGTGTGGATAGGGAAGTCTGGGCGTCTCTGCTTAGACTGCTGCCCCCGCGACCCGGCAACGGATAAAGCGGAAGAAAATGGATGGATGGATGGATCTTCCCATCAATTTTAGCCATCTTCCCTGTCCCTGCTGAAGAAAAGCAGGCCCAAACCATGATGCTGCCACCACCATGTTTGACAGTGGGGATGTTGTGTTCAGGGTGATGAGCTGTGTTGCTTTTACGCCAAACATATCGTTTTGCATTGTGGCCAAAAAGTTTGATTTTGGTTTCATCTGACCAGAGCACCTTCTTCCACATGTTTGGTGTGTCTCCCAGGCGGCTTGTGGCAAACTTTAAACAAGACTTTTTATGGATGTCTTTGAGAAATGGCTTTCTTCTTGCCACTCTTCCATAAAGGCCAGATTTGTGCAGTGCACGACTGATTGTTGTCCTATGGACAGACTCTCCCACCTCAGCTGTAGTTATCTGCAGTTCATCCAGAGTGATCATGGGCCTCTTGGCTGCATCTCTGATCAGTCTTCTCCTTGAGATGAAAGTTTGCAGGGACGGCCGGGTCTTGGTAGATTAGCAGTGGTCTGATACTCCTTCCATTTCAATATAATTGCTTGCACAGTGCTCCTTGAGATGTTTAAAGCTCGGGAAATCTTTTTGTATCCAAATCCGGCTTTAAACTTCTCCACAACAGTATCTCGGACCTGCCTGGTGTGTTCCTTTGTCTTCATGGTTCTCTCTGCACTTTAAACAGAACCCTGAGACTATCAAAGAGCAGGTGCATTTATACGGAGACTTGATTACACACAGGTGCATTCTATTTATCATCATCAGTCATTTAGGACAACATTGGATCATTCAAAGATCCTCACTGAACTTCTGGAGTGAGTTTGCTGCACTGAAAGTAAAGGGGCCGAATAATATTGCATGCCCCACTGTTCAGTTTTTTATTTGTTAAATTTTTTTAAATTATCCAATAAATGTCGTTCCACTTCACGATTGTGTCCCACTTGTTGTTGATTCATGACAAAAAATTAAAATTTTATATCTTTATGTTTGAAGCCTGAAATGTGGCGAAATGTTGAAAGGTTCAAGGGTATACTTTCGCAAGGCACTGTAACTTTCAAACCAAAAGAATGTAACTCTCTGGTCTCTCTCTCTGGTCTCTCGCAAGTCTTTCTTTCTGGTTTCTCGCTGGTCTCTCTTTCTGACCTCTCTGGTCTCTCTCTGGCCTCCCTCTGCTCTCTCTCTGGCTTCTCTTTCTGGTCTCTCTCTCCGGCCTCTTTCTCTGGTCTCCCTCTGATCTCTCTCTCTCTCTGGTCTGTCTCTGGTCTCTCTCTCCGCCTTCTCTCTCTGGTCTCTCTCTCTGTATGTAAGTAAGTAAGAAAGTAATTTATATACCGCCTTTCACAGACCAGAGTCTCAAAGCGGTTTACAATTGTGGGCATTTGTCTCACTCCACACAGAGATGGGAGCGAGGTAGCCAGTACAGAAGGCGCATGCCAGACCTATTGTACATGTTTTAGTGGTAGGGGAAACCGGAGCACCCAGAGGAAACCTACGCAGACACGGAGAACATGCAAACTCCACTCAGAAGACTTCACTCTTGTCTCTCTCACTTGCCTCTCTCTGTTCACTGTCTCTGGTCTCTCTTTCTGGTCTCTTTCTGGAATTTCTTTGGCTGGATGTTTACTTCAGGGCTGTTTCCGACAATAGAATGATTGAAATCAAAACATATTGATGAGTTTGAGCCTAAAAAACTTGATGTTGTGCTTTTGAACGTGTAAAAATGTGCCGTTTGGTGAAAGAGGATCGTGTTTGGAGAGAGCTGTCCACGCGCCGAAGCATAAACAACGAGACTGGGATATCTGTGGAGGCATCTGCCCAGGGTAATCACCTCCAGAAGGGACTGAGAGGAGGAGAAAAGAGAGAGGAGAGGAGAGAGGAGAGGAGAGGAGGGGAGGAAAGAGACGAGGAGGGTAGAGGAGAGAGGAGAGGAGCAGAAGGAGGGGACAGAGGAGGAGAGGGGCTCCTCCCCTCAAGAGAGGGGAGGAGCCCCTCTCTTGAGGGGAGGAGGACAAGAGAGGAGAGAAGAGAGGGAAGGAAAGATAAGAGAGGGGGGAGAGAGGAGGGGAAAGAAACACTTTACAGACACACAATTATTGTCAATTGGTTACTCAGTACAATCCTTCCTCTGCCTCTGAAGCAGCAGTCTGGGATCTGTCCAGAACCTGCCACTTTGTTCCTTCTGCTCAAACAGATTCACCTTTTGGCCTGACCCAGGATGAAGTTCACTAGACCCACAGGTGCCCCGGTGGCTGCTGGACCTTGGTTCAAAGTGGCCCAAGATGAGCGAGAACGGTGCGGGGAGGAGAGGAGAGAGCGGAGGAGGAGAGGAAATGAGTGGAGAGAAGATGAGAGGAGATAGAAATTAGAGTGAAGATGAGAGGAGAGGGTATAGAGAGGGGAGAGGAGGAGAGATGGTGGTCCCTGCAGCGACTGTGACCACGTTTACAGTGACCCAAGTAGAGTAAAGTTAGTGAACTGACCGTTGTGTCTTTGGTGCTGGTTCTGTGTGGGCTTCATCTTCTGTGCTCTCCTCAGCATCAGCCGAGCAGTGTGGGCCTCCGAGAACCCCCTGAATCACACAGGTAGGACTTTAACATGGGGTTGAACTAGAGAGGAGAGATAGGAGAGGAGTGAGAGGAGAGGAGAAAGAGGAGAGCGGAGGAGAGGAGTGAGAGGAGAGGAGTGTGAGGAGAGAGAAGATAGTGGGGGAGAGAGGAGAAGATCGAGGAGAGGTGTGTGTGAGACATTCACCATTCTTTCACAATCTTCTGGGATCGCTCTGATAGTCCACTGAGCTCTGGATGCATCGCAGTCGTGCTCCTGGAAACACGAAAGTCCTCACACCTGTGGTCTCTCTCTCTGGTTACTCTGGTCTCTTTCTGGTCTGTCTCCGGTCTGTTTCTGGTCTCTCTCTGGTCGGACTCTGGTCTCTCTCTGGGCTTGTCTCTCGTAATACATAGTTTTAAATCAATAGTGGATTCACAATGTTCAGTGACTGTAGATTACAAAGGTAAACATCAAAGACACGGGCCAAAGCTGTGAAGAGTTGGTTCTAACCTGATAGAGGAGGCTACAGACGCTCTTTCTGAAGTCTCTGAGGTCTCTGAGGGTTCTGAGGGTTCTGAGGTCCAGGCCTCTGGAACCTAAGACACACAGCGGAGAAGTTGCAGTCTCTAAGACATTGCTCACATGTGGCTCAAGAGAAAAAGGCTCAAACACACGAAAGTCACACCAGGAACCATACTCTGCATAATGACAGTGCAACAAGCTGTGGTGTCGTGTTTAAGAGAGTGAAGCTCTCACCATTTGGGCTGTTGCACATCCTGCTCTTTCCTTTATAAAGTTATCCCTGTGAAAAATATGTTGGGATTCTCTCTCTTTCCGAGTGCTGGATGCATCGCAGTTGTGCTCCTGGAAACACAAGAGTCACATCTGTGGTTTCTGTCTCTGGTCACTCTGGTCTCTCTCTGGTCTTTCTCTGGTCTCTCTCTGGTCTCTCTCTGGTCTCTCTCTGGTCTCTCTCTGGTCTCTCTCTGGTCTCTCTCTGGTCTCTCTCTCTCTATGGTCTCTCTCTGGTCTCTCTCTGGTCTCTCTCTGGTCTCTCTCTGGTTTCTCTCTGGTCTTCCTCTGATCTCTCTCTGGTCTCTCTCTGGTTTCTCTCTGGTCTTTCTCTCTGATGTTTCTCTTGTCTCTCTCTGGTCACTCTCTGATCTCTCTAAACCAGGTCTAAAAGAGGACCAAAGCAGATCCAACACGTTTTCTAATGAGATGAAGAATCACATGTTGTGGTCTGATTCTTTCACAACTCTAAAACTCTTTCCTGTGGGGGGAAACAACATGGATTTTGATGCGACAAAAGTTATGCACCCTAGCTTTAATGATCCAGTTGCGTTGGTCTAAAACATGCTGCATATGTGCGTCTGTTCTGGCTGGATTCCTGGGAGCCGTTACCTCTGCTAAAACAATAGTGTGTGTTTGTGCTGGGCCTTGATGCTGTGAGTTACGAGATCGTCCAGACGCGTTGCACTCGGACTTGTGTACATTACAAATATAGGATGAGCGCGTTCTGTTTTCCTTGGACATCGAGGAGGTTTATGGTAAAGAATGTCCATATTTAAGTCACATCCAGTGCTTCATTATCCAGAGGCTCCTACAGCTCTGAGAGCGCGAGCTGGGCGGTGAGGACAGCTTTGATGAAGGTCTGAGACAACAGAGACTGAACCAGGACTGAACAAGGACTGGACCGGATCTAAAGAAGGACTAAAGCGGGTCTGAAGCAGCACTAAAACAGCACTAAAGGAGGATTACGACAGTAGAGAATTGACCACGACTGAATAAGGACTGGACCTGATCTAAAACAGGGTCTAAAACAGGTCTAAAACAGGTCTAAAACAGGTCTAAAGCAGCACTACAGCAGGATTGAGACAATAGAAACTGGGCCAGGACTGAAAAAGCCTAAAGCAGACTAAAGCAGGACTAAGCGCAGGTCTAAAGCAAGACTAAAGCAGGACTAAAACAGGACTAAAGCAGGACTAAAGCAGGTCTAAAACAGGACTAAAGCAGGACTAAAGCAGGACTAAAACAGGACTAAAGCAGGACTAAAGCAGGACTAAAACAGGACTAAAGCAGGACTAAAGCAGGTCTAAAACAGGACTAAAGCAAGTCTAAAGCAGGCAGTAATATGGACCTTAGCACACAGAGGCTCCTCAGACTCATCTTCAGAAAGTACAGTCCAGTCCAGGTCCAGAGACGCCTGTGGACACATAAATACAACATCACTCTTTAGATTTGTGTATCCCAGTTTTAAACAAGTCTGAAGTTGCTTTAGGATATAGAGATGAATACATTTAAGTATATACTGTAAATATAAAACAAGTAGCCATTTTGGACAGTTTTGAAGCTCTAGTGCAGGCATGTCAAAGTCAAATACATCAGAGGGCCAAAAAAAAATGTTTGCTACGAGCCGAGGGCCGGACTGGTTCAATGTTTCTCAACATCCAGAGGCAGTGCCGGTGACACCTGTTGGCTCGATAAAATATGCTCTAAAGCCAATCCTCATACTGTACATATTAGATGTAATAGACATCTGAGAACATGAAAATAGTAAAAAAAAAAAAAAAAAAAAAAGCTCAAACTTGGTGAAATGTAAAAGAGCAGTCTGGACCTCTTTTCGGGGCGTTTTTTGATTAAATCTGCAGAATGGATTATACTTTGGGAAATACAAGTGGATATTCTTCTTCAATAGACAGTTACGGAGAGAAAGAGACTAAGCAAGGATGGGGAAAGTCTAATTTGTTGGAGCAGCAGAAGACGAAAGGTAAAAAACAAATACAGACGTGATTTATTTTGTGCCCATATTATGCGTTATATATTTTTAATGCAAAGTCTGATATCGTTTACACTTACATATAAATATAGCTGAGAAAATAAGCTTTAAAATGATATATAGCTTTTGGCTTATGAAGTTCAAAATACCAGAGGTGTGGACTCGAGTCATGTGACTTGGACTCGAGTCAGACTCGAGTCATGATTTTGATGACTTTAGACTCGACTTGACCAAATGTAAAAAGACTTGCAACTCGACTTGGACTTTAACATCAATGACTCTGACTTTCACTTGGACTTGCGCCAATTGACTTGCAAAGACTTGCGTAACCCGGGCCATTTTTACCTTTCTCCGCATCTCTCTTTCTATCTATGCCGTCTCTGAAGAAACAAAGCCTCGCGGTAGTTGTAGCGCTCGCGAGAGAGTTCGAACGTGAGTTCCCCGCAGTTCGCGCAGCAACACTTCCCTAAACAAGCGCACTGCATTCACCGGTGGGTGTGTTGTCTAGGGGAGCTGGAAATGAGCGAGCTGCAGGTATTTATCGCGACCTAACGTCATATTTTGTTCTACAAACCGTAATTGATATGCTTTCACTACAGGCGCCTCATACAATTGAATCGACGCAGTTGTCACACTGTGTGCCGTGTTTTAAAGAGGAACTGGTGAGTCAAACTAGCGCTAGCCTGCGCTGCTCTGTTAGCTATTTCTTATATTTTTCTGTGTGGGTGCCGAGGCCTATTATTATGAGTATGTTTTTGCTGTGCTCCTCCTGCTAAAGTTTGCATACATTAGATAGTTGTTTTGATTATGTGCACTAAGCTAGATTAATATTTGCACTATTGTTTATGGTGCATTGATATGAGAATCAGTGCTTTGACTGATTGAATTAATTTATATGAGACATTTTATTATGTAATGATATATTGGTAATTATGAGATATTACTAATGCTGGTCCAGTTCATACAGGCCAGGGTCCTTCCCCTCCATTGGTCCCTTCAGTCCTTTGGAACAATAACCACTACGGACATTAAACTGATTATATAGATACAGGTCCTAGCCCAATACTCATATTCATATATGCTGCACTGCTGCACTTGCTACTTCCCATTAAAAACCCCAAAGATAAAAAGTATGTTGACACGGACTGCTCTGATTTTATGTGTGGTCTGTGAATGTGTAACTGAGCCTGCATCTGGCACAACATCCAATTAGATCACGTAGATAGTTTTGATTTACCAGCAGCCAACGACATGGAACAAACTGTTAGTCCATGGGTCAGAGACCAACGAGAATGCACCAGCAAAATGATTCCTAACATTATTTTGTTTGCCTACAAAAGTACGTGGAGACCAACAAGAAACAAATCGCGGTCAAAAAGACTCGAGAGGACTCGAAAGTCAAACCGTAGGACTTGGGACTGACTTGAGATTTGTTGGCCTTTGACTTGGACTCGACTCGGGACTTGCCTGTCTTGACTCGTGACTTGACTCGGGACTTGAGGGCAATGAATTGAGACTGACTTGTGACTTGCTAAACAATGACTTTGTCCCACCTCTGCAAAATACATCTGCTTTTGCCAGCAGAAGTATTTTTTTCCTCGTTTGCTCCCGCCGGCGGGGGCTAGCGAGCTTAAGGGGTCAATACATTGCCTCAATGGCAGGCAATGTCCCGGGGGCCATGTAAAATTCATTCGCGGGCCGGATTTGGCCCGCGGGCCTTGACTTTGACACATGTGCTCTAGTGGATTTCTGTTTGAGGATGTTCTCAATGTGTTTTTAAGGTCTGTTTTGTGCCCGCACCTCGTCAAGCTCAAACTGCTCCATCTCCAGAGGTTCTAGAGAGTCCAGGGCATCATCGTACCCAGGATAAGAGCTCTGAGCCTGGGCAAGAGCATGACGCAGCCTCCTCCTGAGACGGACCCCCCTCCAACAGGCCTGAAATACACGCACACATTTGCTTTTCTGTCTGAAAAAGCTGATCGAAAGATGTGACAGAGGCCAAAAATACAGTGATAGAAGCAAACTGCTGCGAATTGAAAGTTATGTACCCCAGCTTTAAGATATGATACATAGAATTACAATTAGCACAACAAGACTGTCAGAAGCAGTGATATCCTGTATAAATCTCCCAGCTCAGAAAGTAAACTATTGTGTGATGACGTAATCGTCCACACTCTGCACGCACATACAGTACCTATAGCTCTCACCTGTATGACGACTGCAGCCTGCACTCTCTCCTCTTTCTCCACAGGGGGCGCTGTACACTGCTGTCTCTGCTCAATCACGGCAGCTTCATCACTACAAGCACACACAATCACACACAATTACTAAAGCTGGTCTAAAGCAGGACTGAACCAGGACTACAGCAGGTCTAAAGCAGGACTGAACCAAAGCTAAAGCAGGACTAAAGCAGGTCTAAAGCAGGTCTAAAGCAGGACTACAGCTGGACTAAAGCAGGTCTAAAGCAGGACTACAGCTGGACTAAAGCAGGTCTAAAGCAGGACTACAGCTGGACTAAAGCAGGTTTAAAGCGGGTCTAAAGCAGGACTACAGCTGGACTAAAGCAGGTCTAAAGCAGGTCTAAAGCAGGACTACAGCTGGACTAAAGCAGGTCTAAAGCAGGACTACAGCTGGACTAAAGCAGGTTTAAAGCAGGACTAAAGCAGGACTAAAGCAGGACTAAAGCAGGACTAAAGCAGGTCTTAAGCAGTTCTTCATTTTACTTTTCCAAGACATTCTGTTGAAGTCACTTATGCCGGTGTTGGTGTGTAAGGCTTGCGTGCTGACCGCTGCTGACCGTTTGCATGACGTCAGCCGCGCTCCGTCTCTGCCTCAGATTTACTCCTGTGTCCACATCTGGGGTCGGTCCCGCGGGATTGTAGGAGTTGGGGTCCAGATGGATGGTCCTCCCGCGGAGTTCGAGCGGCCTGAGTGTTAAATCACGCGCGCTGATGAGGAATGCCCCGCACACGCTGCAGCAGTGCGCCGACACAGAGACGGAGGAGGCTGTTTGCTCAAACGCAGAGACGCGGGGGGAATGTGGAGGTTCTGTGTGTGCGTCCCACGTTCAACCATGTTCTCCTCATCTCATCATCACTTCTAGAATGTGACACAATGTACTAAAGCTGGGGAACATCACTGTTTCCCATAAATAACATGCAGTTTGTCCAACAGAAAGAGTCTTGGAAAAGTCAAATGTGGTGAACAAATGAGACCAAAACACGCTGTCATCATCCTAATAGAAAACATGTTTTCTTTTGTGTTAGAAAAGAGTTAGTCTCTCTGGCCTCTCTCTGGTCTATCTCTCTGGCCTATATCTCTCTCTCTGGTCTCTCTCTTTAACCTCTATGGTCCCCCTCTAGCCTCTCTTGTCTCTCGAGCTAGCCTCTCTGGTCTATCTCTCTGGCCTCTCTCTGGTATCCCTCTGGTCTCTCTGGTCTCTCTCTCTGGCTTCTGTGGTATTTCTCTGGCCTCTCTCTCTGGCCTATATGATCTCTCTCTCTGGTCTCTCTCAAACCTCTATGGTCCCCCTCTAGCCTCTCTGGTCTCTCTCTCTGGTCTCTCTCTCTAACCTCTAGAGTCTATGGTCACCCTCTAGCCTCTCTGGTCTCTCTCTCTGGCCTCTCTCTGGTCCCCCTCTAGCCTCTCTGGTCTCTCTCTCTGGCCTCTCTCTCTGGCCTCTCTCTGGTCTCCCTCTGGCCTCTCTGGTCTCTCTCTCTCTGGCCTCTATGGTATTGCTCTGGCCTCTCTCTCTGGCCTATATGATCTCTCTATCTAACCTCTATGGTCCCCCTCTAGCCTCTCTGGTCTCTCGAGCTAGCCTCTCTGGTCTCTCTCTTCGGTCTCCCTCCTCTCTCCTCCACACAGGTACATGCCTCTCCCTGCTGTCCTCCCTCTCCTCCACCAGGGCAGTTGTCACATCTCCATACTCGTGGTCGAAGCGCTGCTGTTGAGTCAGGTGAAACAGCTGCTGCAGATGTGAACAGCCGAGTTCCAGCTGCTGCAGCGAGGACAGCGCCCCACTGTGGACAAACACACACACAAATAGTGTTTAAAAGACACATGATTTATTGATTGACTGCGGAACCTTCCGCAGTCAACCATTGGTTTTGTATTTCTTTATTCCGTCATTGATTGACTGCGGAACCTTCCGCAGTCAACCATTGGTTTTGTATTTCTTTATTCCGTCATTTTTTTTGACACGTTTCACAGCTTTCACATTTTCAACAATTTCCACAAGTTATACATCAAAACGTTCCACATGTTTGGGAGATTATTGCTATTACTTTTGGGACTTCAGCGATTTCCGGTTTTTCCGCAATCGGACAAAAATCTGCATTGAGAATTCTGCAATGCATTTTAATAGGCCCATGCATTTTAATAGGACTTCAGCTCTTTCAGACATTTCTACAGTTTCAATGATTCAACAGTTTCAAGGATTCAACAGTTTCAAGGATTTCAGCAGTTTCAAGATTTCAAGAGTTTCAAGGACTTCAACAGTTTCAAGGACTTCAGCAGTTTCAAGGACTTCAGCAGTTTCAAGGACTTCAGCAGTTTCAAGGACTTCAGTGTACTCATGCAACCTAATAGGGATTTTTCCATGTAAACCAGTATAATGCAACTTAATAGGGATTTTTCCATGTAAACCAGTATAATGCAACTTAATAGGGTTTTTTCATGTAAACCAGTATAATGCAACTTAATAGGGTTTTTTTTCATGTAAACCAGTATAATGCAACTTAATGGGGATTTTTCCATGTAAACCAGTATAATGCAACTTAATAGGGGTTTTTACATGTAAACCAGTATAATGCAACTTAATAGGGTTTTTTCCATGTAAACCAGTATAATGCAACTTAATAGGGTTTTTTCCATGTAAACCAGTACAATGCAACTTAATAGGGATTTTTCCATGTAAACCAGTATAATGCAACTTAATGGGGATTTTTCCATGTAAACCAGTATAATGCAACTTAATGGGGATTTTTCCATGTAAACCAGTATTATGCAACTTAATAGGGATTTTTCCATGTAAACCAGTATAATGCAACTTAATAGGGATTTTTCCATGTAAACCAGTATAATGCAACTTAATGGGGATTTTTCCATGTAAACCAGTATTATGCAACTTAATAGGGATTTTTCCATGTAAACCAGTATAATGCAACTTAATAGGGTTTTTTTCATGTAAACCAGTATAATGCAACTTAATAGGGTTTTTACATGTAAACCAGTATAATGGAACTTAATAGGGGTTTTTACATGTAAACCAGTATAATGGAACTTAATAGGGGTTTTTACATGTAAACCAGTATAATGCAACTTAATAAGGATTTTTACATGTAAACCACTATAATGTAACCTAATAGGGGTTTTTACATGTAAACCAGTATAAAGCAACTTAATAGGGATTTGTACATGTAAACCAGTATAATGCAACCTAATAGGGATTTTTCCATGTAAACCAGTATAATGCAACTTAATAGGGATTTTTCCATGTAAACCAGTATAATGCAACTTAATAGGGATTTTTCCATGTAAACCAGTATAATGCAACTTAATAGGGATTTTTCCATGTAAACCAGTATAATGCAACTTAATAGGGATTTTTCCATGTAAACCAGTATAATGCAACTTAATAGGGATTTTTCCATGTAAACCAGTATAATGCAACTTAATAGGGGTTTTTACATGTAAACCAGTATAATGCAACTTAATAGGGTTTTTTTTCATGTTAACCAGTATAATGCAACCTAATAGGGATTTTTCCATGTAAACCAGTATAATGCAACCTAATAGGTTGCATTATACCACCAGACCAAGACCCAAACGAAGACTCAGACCACCACCAGATAATGACCACAGACCAGGTTTCCTTAGTTACAGGAACCAAATTGTTTCAGCGGTGAGGGGATTTTTCAGTTTCAAGGACACTTTCAATACATTCAGTAGTTTCAAGGATTTCAACTGTTTAAGAATTTAACCAGTTTCAAGGATATCAGGAGGTTCAAGGATTTCAGGAGTTTCCACACTTTCAACAGTTTCCAGGTTTAAAAAAGTTTCAAGGATTTCAGGAGTTTCAATGTTTCAACAGTTTCAAGGATTTCAGGAGTTTAAAGGTTTCAACAATTTCAAGGACTTCAGGAGTTTCAAATATCTATCAAGTATTTTAACAGTTTCAAGGCCTTTTAAAGGATTTCAAGGATTTTTTTTAGCAGATTTCCACATTAGATCTGTTCCGCAGTCAATCGCAATGGCTTCAGCCATTGCAAGTTTCTAGTTTTTTTTGACACGTTTCACAGCTTTCACATTTTCAACAATTTCCACAAGTTATACATCAAAACGTTCCACATGTTTGGGAGATTATTGCTATTACTTTTGGGACTTCAGCGATTTCCGGTTTTTCCGCAATCGGACAAAAATCTGCATTGAGAATTCTGCAATGCATTTTAATAGGCCCATGCATTTTAATAGGACTTCAGCTCTTTCAGACATTTCTACAGTTTCAATGATTCAACAGTTTCAAGGATTCAACAGTTTCAAGGATTTCAGCAGTTTCAAGGGTTTTTTTTTCATGTAAACCAGTATAAATGCAACTTAATGGGGATTTTTTCCATGTAAACCAGATTTCAAGAGTTTGCAACTTAATAGGGTTTTTTCCATGTAAACCAGTACAATGCAACTTAATAGGGATTTTTCCATGTAAACCAGTATAATGCAACTTAATGGGGATTTTTCCATGTAAACCAGTATAATGCAACTTAATGGGGATTTTTCCATGTAAACCAGTATTATGCAACTTAATAGGGATTTTTCCATGTAAACCAGTATAATGCAACTTAATAGGGATTTTTCCATGTAAACCAGTATAATGCAACTTAATAGGGATTTTTCCATGTAAACCAGTATAATGCAACTTAATAGGGATTTTTCCATGTAAACCAGTATAATGGCAACTTAATAGGGTTTTTTTCATGTAAACCAGTATAATGCCACTTAATAGGGTTTTTTTCATGTAAACCAGTATAATGCAACTTAATGGGGATTTTTCCATGTAAACCAGTATAATGCAACTTAATATGGGTTTTTACATGTAAACCAGTATAATGCAACTTAATAGGTTTTTTTTTTTTACATGTAAACCAGTATAATGGAACTTAATAGGGTTTTTTACATGTAAACCAGTATAATGCAACTTAATAGGGTTTTTTACATGTAAACCAGTATAATGCAACTTAATAGGGATTTTTACATGTAAACCAGTATAATGCAACTTAATAGGGATTTTTACATGTAAACCAGTATAATGCAACTTAATAGGGATTTTTCCATGTAAACCAGTATAATGCAACTTAATAGGGTTTTTTACATGTAAACCAGTATAATGCAACTTAATGGGGATTTTTCCATGTAAACCAGTATAATGCAACTTAATAGGGGTTTTTACATGTAAACCAGTATAAAGGATAACAGTTTAAAGGATATCAAGAGCTTCAAATACTTCAGGAGTTTCAAAGATGTTTAAAGTATTTTAACAGTTTCAAGGATTTCAATGATTCAGAGAAATGCTGTGCTAAAACTAAATAACTGGTAATCATTACAATGAGTTAATCATGCTCGTTCTGCACTAACTAAAGATTCTGCTTAACAGAAAGGCGGATTAAGTTATTTTGATTTTGTAAAAACTTAAAATCTTTGTTGCAAACGTTTTACCCGCAAAAAAAACGGCTTAGTAATGATAACTAGTTCGGTTTATACAGTGAAGATACAATTCACAGTTTGAAGAAGGGGCGGAACAGGAGAAGGGGGGCGGAGACAGGAGAAGGGGCGGAGAACAGGAGAAGGGGGCGGAGACAGAGAAGGGGCGGAGACAAGGAGAAGGGGGCGAACAGGAGAAGGGGCGAGACAGGAGAAGGGGGGCGGAGACCGAGGCGAAGGGGGGCGGCGACAGGGAGAAGGGTAACGACTCATGATTACAACTTCTGCTCTATTATGTTTAAATCCCAGAAGGTTCTGTCGAGTAGTGCATAATGACTGATTCTATCTACTCATTTTACGTTAAAAAGGTTTGATTCTTGTGATGTAAAAATAAACACTGTCACTTAAGATTTTTGATGAGGGCAGGAGTGCGGTAAAAGCCAGTCCAGTTGTTGTTATGACAGCTTGAGCCTGCTGGCCTGTAAGGACCCACCTGCTTTAGGGCCCCAGGCTGTCCACTCAGTGGGGGTGGGCGGGGGTGGGGGAGGAGGCAGCTGCTGCTCTCAGATCCTCGGTCCGGGGACCCACTCGAGGCTTTGTGGTGGCCAAACTCAGAACGAACTGCAGCATGTCCTTCAGACGGGTACTTGTCGACCATAGCCGATAGTTTTTTTGTAGCTGGGTAAAATAAACATCCAAATAACGTTATATAAAAGCCTCAAATGTAATTTATGAACAGATCCATTTCTACCTCAAAGCTACAAGAGAACCCGAGGGGGAAAGGGAAACCTTTGAAACTACTGTCATCTACAGTCCCAACCCCACACATAACGGTCATGAACTTAGGGTAATAACAAGAGGTCACATGTGGACCGAAAATTGGAGTTTGACAAGGATGAAATTGTGAGTTTGTGTGTGTGGCTGGAGAAGTGCAGCTGGTGTTGGGTGTTCATGGTATGTGTGAGGGCCAAGATAGTGAAAGATGCCTGAGGATGACCTAGACTAGAGGCAGCAATTTATTCTAATATGTTAACCCAACCCATAATTGGAAGTTAAATAGTTAACTAAACAACAATGTGTTATTTGGTCCGGTTTTGTTAAATCCAAACAATTAACCAATTTTGAACTTTTGAAATTAATAATGAAACTCCTGTTAAGTAATTTCAAAATACCTTGACTAATGTAAAAAAATAAAGTTGCTTCTAATATTTTCACACCCGACCAGTTCCTATTTTTATTATATGGCTCCTGACACCCCTGCTGTACACTGTACAGCACTGTAACCACTGTTCAATAAAGTGTAAAAAAAATAAATAAAGCTTGGGACATTATGATGAATCCTAATAAACAGAATGAGACATGACTGCTTTATTGAATTCCAAGCATTATTAATTAATATTCTTCTAGCCCCCCAGCCATTTTTATAAATACTATACATGAAAAAATAACCAAAAGGAAAACGTTATAATTGTGGCCGTGACTGATAGTCACAACGACCACTCAATTCACTTAGTGGATAGGGTTAGGGTTATTATCAATTTAATTGTGTAGTCATATTTGGGGGCTCATTATTGTGTGTACATTTCCTGGTGTAAAAGTGGAAATATCTAAGCTGTTTTTGTTGTTAACTGTTTCAACTCATCCCCATTAAAACAATATAATTTTCAACATCATTCTCGTTTATCAATTACAATTATATTATTATTATCAATATCATTATTAGTACTTCTGTAGAAATCTGTATATCGTCCATCACAATTCATTAAAGTGACAGGTCTGGTTATGACTGTGTTTATGTTTAGTATCAGGGTTTGTTTTGTAATAGCTTATGGAGGAAGCGGCAATATTCAGATCACATACATGCAGGCAGGCATAACGATGTGCCACCCATGATGATATTCTTGTTCTATTCAAGCCAAAAATATGCCCTACTTTCTAAATTGGCACCAAGAAATATCCCTCCTTTCTCTGTCTATTTTTTAACAGGCAGCGTGCAATTGTCTCAGCAGTAGCAGCTCCATAATAATACAGAATGAGATGATGAGTGTAATTTAGATAGAGATGAATTAGAAATTGAGGTTGACCTTGTGGCGCTCCGTCCTCGTCTGAAGTCCAAATAGTGGATTTACAAAGGCTAACTAATATCATTACCCCGCTTTTTTCTCTAATTACATCCATTTCGTCAGTAATGTGGTCATTCCTGGCACATCATGACACATTCATACTTCTTCAAACTCACGGAATGACTTCAGAGAGATTTCCATCTTTTCCATGTCACTTGAGTTCAATAGAAAATTAATCAAAGAATTGTTCTCAATATTAGACTTGATTCAAACTGAAAAGCTTTACTGCGTTTAAAAGGACAGTTTTTGCAATTTAAGTGAGATCTCAAACACTCATAATCATGTTCTCATCTCCAATCTGTTCAGCAACCAAAACACAACCAAAAAAATTTATAAGAATGGATACCTACAAAATGCGGGTGTGTTTTTGGGGGAGTTAAAACAGAATTTGAAAGCCCATCAAATATGTGGAAGCAATTTGATCCGGTCTTTGCTATTATTCCCTCAGACCAGTGTGTGGCAGCGCAGTGTCCACCTAAAGGTATGAAAAGGCAGCCACGAGTGCTGCTGATTTGAGGCATTTTTTGTGTGGATTGTGGACATTAAAAGTATTAGGTTCTTCTATACCAGACACAATTAGGTTAGCAATGGTGTTACCTTTAGGCCAACCTTTTTGGAAAGTTCGGAAGGGTGGGGCGATGGCCTAAAGATCAAAACATCGCTAATATTGTCTGGTATAAAAGAACCTAATACTTTTAATTCTACTAAAAAGACATGGTGAATCTTCCTAAAGGATTGTGGACAGCTTCTCAATTCAGTAGCCATTTGGCCAGGGGCATAGCTCCATAGGCTATGGGCGGCAAGGTGGCTGAGTAGGTAGCACTCTCGCTTCTCAGCAAAAAGGTCCTGGGTTTGAATCCCGGTCGCAACAGGGCCTTTCTGAGTGGAGTTTGCATCTGCGTAGGTTTCCTCCGGGTGCTCTGGTTTCCCCTACCACTAAAAACATGTACAATAGGTATGAATGTAAATGAGAGAGTGAATGGATGGTGTTGATTGGAGCTGATGCGCCAATGCGTTCGGCGACTCGCTTCTGTCATCACCTTGTGTGGAATGATTGGAACAATATCTGAACTCAGAACATTGTAACGCGCTTTGGGTGACCTTGGTCTGTAAAATGCGCTATATAAATAAACATTACTCACTACTTACTTACAACAAAATCTGTGTTAATTTTGTCCATTCACACACTTCAGGCTTTACCACCCAGATAGTGCACCTAAACAAATGATTCCACAATGTCTATAAACGTTTTGTAGACTATTATCATAAAACATATTTTATTTTTATTTTCAGATCCTATGTGACTGTAATATTTGACTCAACAGAATGGCACAAAACACTTCCAAACCCATCAACATAATGGGTAATTTTCTTCATGCCATGTAATCATGCTATAAAAGCAACAATGTAAGAACACAAGGGGCTTATTATGTCTGTTTACCATTCTGAAGCCACAGTCATAATAAGTAATCGTTGTGGCGTGTCTCTGGTCCTCGAGACTCTCTTTAATGCAGACCAGTGTGGGGGCTGCCTGCGCAATAATGTCACTAGTACCATTATAACCGGCTCGAGCCCCATCTACCCGCTCCTTGAATTGTTTTTTACTGCCCCGGCGGGACCTTTAAGAGCCCACTTCATGCACACTTCTAAGACCTGGCTATTCTTTGACTGACACTCATCCTCGCCGTGTACCTCCATTCTGACAGGCTGCACGCTAATCACTTTCTCCCCTGCCATGTTCTGCAAGCGCATCATGTCCTGTGTTGTCTTTTGAACTGTACACGCGCACACCTGCACATTGTGCGTCCACAGAGAAGATAAATAATACATGGGGCATTTTCAATTTACCCTTGTAGCATTAATATTCAACACAAACCAGATTAGTTTTCCCATAAATGTCTTAAACACTGGGAATACTATGCAACCTTTCCAGAACTCTGCTTGTGGGTAATTGGTTGCTGTCACATACTTTTAAAGCCTGGCTGTAAGCAACGACTGATGTAAAGCAGTTAAGCGATTGAAAAGTGCGATTCAATCTTCCGATCTATTCTTGCATCATTTTGACAGCTGTGCAAAGGCAAAGACAAGCCTGCCAGCGAGGAATAAATGGAGCCAACATGGATAGAGCTGGGGCCATGGGAGTAGAAGAGTGTTACTGTTGTTTAGGGTTTGGGTGAATGGGCAAATAGGTTCAACATAGGCCAAGTGAAAGCAAATGAAAAACACATGACACAATTCAGTGATGGATTTGAATCGTAGAAGTTGGGTTCAATATAATGAAATAACATTAATAATTTAAAAACATACATAGGGAAATAAGGGGTCAACACCACAAATTGATTTAGTATCAATTCAGTGTCACTATCATCAAAAGCAGGACAGAACTATCACTGTCATCTTATGTTTTTGTAATAACATTTCCTGTGTTTTCAATGTGTTTGTGTGCCCTTCTTCTGCTCAGAGTAAGAAACTGGAGGGATGGATGAGATGAATACAATACTGTAATTGCCGGACTATAAGCCGCTAAGTTTTTCAACATCTATAAAAACGACTCGTGTGAAATTTTGCTGGTTCAAACCACTAACTGAAAGATAATTGCGTCAAGCTCTCAGCAATAAACTGTTATAAATTACTGAGACTTAATCTTGGACAAAATGGTATTAATTGCACAGAACCATTTAACCTTCATGCTATGTATTTTTCCATTCCAATTAGAATTAGATGCATTCATGGAACATTTTGCTGCCACTTTCCTGGTCTGATGCCGACCAACTTTCCGTGGGAGTGCAGAGTTTGATGGAGGTCTAGACCCAGGATCAGCAGCAGAGTTTGGGTGAGCAGTGATGGGGAAAGAGGAAGGTAGGAGGCCTGTGATTGACAGTGGAGGACCAGCTCTGTGCTCTGTTCAATTGGCCCAAAGTGGCCGTTTCCTGGTGGGTGTTTAGGCTGCGCACTCATGCACAGCTCACCGTAACCTTATGGCTTCAATACTATGCACTGCCAGGACTATTTGGAACAGTGACCTATGACCACTCTATCAGGAGCTATATGGCTGTTAGATCAAGTGTGGCAAGTTTAGCAGAAAGGGGGTGTAAAATATATCAAAGTGGAGGAATAAAATTGTAGACGTAATATAAGAATGTCAGTGATAACATAAGGTGTGGACCTGATCTGGTGATTCTCTGCTATTATAGACATTTGTGGCTCGGTCGCTCCCATTTCAGCATAAATGGAACCAATTGATGGAGCCATAAATTTGTACCAATCACAAAGGACAGTTGTCTCTAAATATATTCTGAAATACCTTGCTTGTATCAAAATTATACCATTGCATTAGCTTGGCAAAAAACTGTTTCTAAAAAAAAAGATAAATGCAAGTAGTATGTACATGTGTTGGCATATATGTAAGGGATAATGTATAGCCTACAGGTCATTATCGGAAAATAAGTACCGACAGGGCGAAGCGGACCCCGACTGCTTTGTACCAACTTAACACACAAAATAAACTTCAGATCACTTTTATGAATGCCAAAAGTTTATTTAATGACAACAAATAAAGTTTTCCCGTTGCTCGGCAACCGCGGGCAACAGTTAGGCTGGCAACTTCCAAACTAGAACTCTCTGGAACTGCATGAAAACTGAACAAAGAATTCTGAACATCAGCGGTGAGTGACCCATACATAAACCTAACCTAAATCCATAATTCGATCCTCTGCAAATGTGTCCGAAAATGTGCCGGTATCTTAAAATGTGCCGGTATCTACTTCCGGGTTTTTCGGGATCGCCTTTTCTCGCATTACATCAGTGTTTTTGTCATGAAAACGTAAACGGAAAATTCTGAAAACTTCCGTGCACTTGTATTAAGACTGGATATGTATAAATTACTCTCCGATTAACATTTCATTGCGTTGATTGATTGGCATTTGCGTTTATTGAGCGGCCAGAACTACTTCCGGGTTTTTCACGATCGCTTTTTGACGCAGAGAAATAGTATTTTTGTCATGAAGACAAGACCAGAAAATTCTGAAAATTTCCGTGCACGTGTGTGAAGAATGTATATGTATAAGTATTCTCCGATTAACATTTAAGTGTGTTGATTGAGCGTGGCTAGCTCCGGAGTGGCCGGAACTACTTGCGGAGTTATCCACGCATTTGAAAGACAAGCAGAGAGAGCGTTGCCATGGGCAGCGGTCATTATTGTTTTGAGAGGTCCGTTATAGAAAATAATGACCGGTAGAACGTTTTGAAATTACATTCAAATCAATGGAGCGTTCTCCTGCTGCTGTGAGGAGCCGTATAATAAACGATCATAATTTGTATGTATGAGGCACTTTTAGAACAAAGTTGCAAAGGGCTGCACATAGTCAACATTAAATGAAACAAGACAAAAAAGTGAAAACAAGGTAAACAGAACTTAAGCAAAAAAAGACAACTAAACATGTTATAGTTAAAGACAAAAAAAAATAGTAAGATCTCTACACACAGTTAAAAGGAAGACCGTTCAAATATAGAGTTTTGAGGAATGGTTCAAAAAAAGAGACTGATGAAGCTTTCCTTATCTCCTCAGGCAGATTATTCCAAAGCCAAAGCTCAATCACCTTTCGCCCAGACCTTGGACAAGCTAACAAGGACCCGTCTGTGGGGCTTGCAGGAAATTAAACGATCATAAATATAAATTGAAGCAAGATCTAAGTTTTAAAACAGAGGCAAATCTTGAAATTAATTTAAAACGCACAGGGAGACAGCAGAGGTTTGCTGAAACAGGGGTGATGTGGTCCCTTTGGTTCAAACCAGCGCGAAGTCCATCTGGTATATATTCTAAACCAGTTGGAGGTGTGAGAGGGATTTATTGTCGAGACCGGAGAGGAGGGAGAAGATTATGACATTAATGACTTTTTCCAGGTCAGAACATGTTTAATCTTACTGAGTAAGAGGTGGAGGGGACAGGATTGGGTGATTTTTTTATGTAATTTTTTTTGTGGAGGAGGAAATTTCAGTTAGAATCTAAAATGACACAGGCTACTGGTGGTTCAAAAACCTTGTATTATTTCTGATTTGGAGCTGTTGGGATTTATACAAGTTTCTGGACCATACATCTGTTCACATCATTAAAACCTAGCCTTACAGAGCAGCTACACTTCCAGGGTCATTTGCTCTCAGCAGGATGTATATTTCTGTGCCGTCCACATAGCAATGGAAAGATATGTTACGGCCTATGACATGTCCTAGGGGGAGCTTATAAAAAGAAAATGGGACCTAAAATAGAACCTTGCGGCTCACCACAGGCGATGTTGAGGACGTAGATCCTGTTGATCGGAAAAAAGCTCCGTCTGAAACATAAGAATAAAAGAAATCAATGTTCCTGACCACCCATAACTGTAATGTTATGGGTGGTCGGTTAGTTGTTTTTGTTACTATTTAACAGGTAGACTAATCATTGTGTTTTATTGTTAATGTTTTCTTCTGGGATGAGGTTTTCATGCTCTACAGCAAACATAACTAGAAACTTGCAATGGCTGAAGCCATTGCGATTGACTGCGGAACAGATCTAATGTGGAAATCTGCTAAAAAAAATCCTTGAAATCCTTTAAAAGGCCTTGAAACTGTTAAAATACTTGATAGATATTTGAAACTCCTGAAGTCCTTGAAATTGTTGAAACCTTTAAACTCCTGAAATCCTTGAAACTGTTGAAACATTGAAACTCCTGAAATCCTTGAAACTTTTTTTAAACCTGGAAACTGTTGAAAGTGTGGAAACTCCTGAAATCCTTGAACCTCCTGATATCCTTGAAACTGGTTAAATTCTTAAACAGTTGAAATCCTTGAAACTACTGAATGTATTGAAAGTGTCCTTGAAACTGAAAAATCCCCTCACCGCTGAAACAATTTGGTTCCTGTAACTAAGGAAACCTGGTCTGTGGTCATTATCTGGTGGTGGTCTGAGTCTTCGTTTGGGTCTTGGTCTGGTGGTATAATGCAACCTATTAGGTTGCATTATACTGGTTTACATGGAAAAATCCCTATTAGGTTGCATTATACTGGTTTACATGGAAAAATCCCTATTAGGTTGCATTATACTGGTTTACATGGAAAAATCCCTATTAAGTTGCATTATACTGGTTTACATGGAAAAATCTCTATTAAGTTGCATTATACTGGTTTACATGGAAAAATCCCTATTAGGTTGCATTATACTGGTTTACATGTACAAATCCCTATTAAGTTGCTTTATACTGGTTTACATGTAAAAACCCCTATTAGGTTACATTATAGTGGTTTACATGTAAAAATCCTTATTAAGTTGCATTATACTGGTTTACATGTAAAAACCCCTATTAAGTTCCATTATACTGGTTTACATGTAAAAACCCCTATTAAGTTCCATTATACTGGTTTACATGTAAAAACCCTATTAAGTTGCATTATACTGGTTTACATGGAAAAATCCCTATTAAGTTGCATAATACTGGTTTACATGGAAAAATCCCCATTAAGTTGCATTATACTGGTTTACATGAAAAAAACCCTATTAAGTTGCATTATACTGGTTTACAAGGAAAAATCCCTATTAAGTTGCATTATACTGGTTTACATGGAAAAATCCCTATTAAGTTGCATAATACTGGTTTACATGGAAAAATCCCCATTAAGTTGCATTATACTGGTTTACATGTAAAAAACCCTATTAAGTTGCATTATACTGGTTTACATGGAAAAATCCCTATTAAGTTGCATTGTACTGGTTTACATGGAAAAAACCCTATTAAGTTGCATTATACTGGTTTACATGGAAAAAACCCTATTAAGTTGCATTATACTGGTTTACATGGAAAAAACCCTATTAAGTTGCATTATACTGGTTTACATGTAAAAACCCCTATTAAGTTGCATTATACTGGTTTACATGGAAAAATCCCCATTAAGTTGCATTATACTGGTTTACATGAAAAAACCCTATTAAGTTGCATTATACTGGTTTACATGGAAAAATCCCTATTAAGTTGCATAATACTGGTTTACATGGAAAAATCCCCATTAAGTTGCATTATACTGGTTTACATGTAAAAAACCCTATTAAGTTGCATTATACTGGTTTACATGGAAAAATCCCTATTAAGTTGCATTGTACTGGTTTACATGGAAAAAACCCTATTAAGTTGCATTATACTGGTTTACATGGAAAAAAACCCTATTAAGTTGCATTATACTGGTTTACATGGAAAAAACCCTATTAAGTTGCATTATACTGGTTTACATGTAAAAACCCCTATTAAGTTGCATTATACTGGTTTACATGGAAAAATCCCCATTAAGTTGCATTATACTGGTTTACATGAAAAAAAACCCTATTAAGTTGCATTATACTGGTTTACATGAAAAAACCCTATTAAGTTGCATTATACTGGTTTACATGGAAAAATCCCTATTAAGTTGCATTATACTGGTTTACATGGAAAAATCCCTATTAGGTTGCATGATTACACTGAAGTCCTTGAAACTGCTGAAGTCCTTGAAACTGCTGAAGTCCTTGAAACTGCTGAAGTCCTTGAAACTGCTGAAGTCCTTGAAACTGTTGAAGTCCTTGAAACTCTTGAAATCTTGAAACTGCTGAAATCCTTGAAACTGTTGAATCCTTGAAACTGTTGAATCATTGAAACTGTAGAAATGTCTGAAAGAGCTGAAGTCCTATTAAAATGCATGGGCCTATTAAAATGCATTGCAGAATTCTCAATGCAGATTTTTGTCCGATTGCGGAAAAACCGGAAATCGCTGAAGTCCCAAAAGTAATAGCAATAATCTCCCAAACATGTGGAACGTTTTGATGTATAACTTGTGGAAATTGTTGAAAATGTGAAAGCTGTGAAACGTGTCAAAAAAAATGACGGAATAAAGAAATACAAAACCAATGGTTGACTGCGGAAGGTTCCGCAGTCAATCAATTAATGTATAACACACTT